CTGCTATATCAAGGGGATTAAATAGTTTTAAGCATTGAACCTTTTTAGAAAGATGATTGGAGTCTGGAAATAATTCGAAGAAAATAAGATATCCATACTACAAAACTAAATTAAGGTATTAAGTATTAAAAACAGAATCAAACAAATGTGAAAAGAACTTTATCAAAATCCTTATGTGCTGTATCTACACTCCCTAAGAGAACGAATTCTGAAAAAAAATATCAATAAGGTATATGGATAACGCACGTGTTTCATATAAGTTACGCTTAAACCAAAAGTTTGGTTTGAAGTCTATGTGGATGGGGTATACAGAATAGAGAAAATGGAACAACAAAACAAAATTGAGTAAAATGGTAAAACAAATAATTAGCGAATGATGGTGTGGTAAAATATAATGAACAGAGAATAATGGACTAACCCCCGCTCAGATTGGAAAAAAATAGCCTAAACAATGAAAGAATACAAAACCGAAAACACTCCTCCAAATAGAATTGCAAATTGATTTATATACCAAATTTAAATGTTTATTGCCTGGGAAACTTCATACAATAAGGTTGTCACAAATAAAAATACAAAATAAGTACACAATATAAATTACAAAATGCATACACAATCACGTTTGTCCAGTAAATTTTCAATAGTCTTCAGTCCTCAGTTCAAATGACTTTTATCTTTAAGACCTCAAGTTCTTAATTTGTGATGATGTTGATTAATTCAGCATAACAACTTGTTTTCTTTGGCAGAAAAAAATTACGGTGACTCATACAACAGTTGCTAACTTCTATGTCTTTGGTGGAGAGTTGTCTCATTGGTAAACAGACCACATCTTCTTATTTTTATATTGACCAGGAAAGTACTAAAACATGGTTTTTCAGATTTTGTTGACAAACCAGAGAGATTTAGGTTCGTATAACGTTTTACAACTCAAAATTTTAAAATGGTTGATAGTTTTTATTATTTTGAAAATAAAAAAAAAAGCGAAAATTGTATAATAATTTAAAATTGCAAAATGGTTAAAAGATTTTTGAAATAGTGATAATTTAGCTTAAATGTGGACAAGAAACATAGTCAACATTTGAAGATTATAGTAAACTTGCGATAAAAAAAAATTGGCATGCGATTTTACAATTTGAATACAATATATATATATATATATATATATATATATATATATATATATATATTATTAGGAATTTGATGTATTACTTAAAAATTATAAATTTCATAAAGTAAAAATTAGTTTGGTATCTTAATAAAAGTAAATACAAATAAGCAAAACATGACTTTGAAAATAGAAACATTTGAGGTACTATTCGGGATAGAGTTTGTGTTCTTGCTAGCTAGTGAACAGTTGGGCAACCTATTATAAGCAACATGACCTGATAAAAGCTCAATTTACCAGAAATCGAGTACAAGTTTCAAATTTGAAGACATCCTTGTGAATTGCTCGATTGCTCTATTTCCTACACATATAAGGTATACAAACTTGGTACTGCGAATATCTCTTTTATCTCTTCTTTCCGTACAACTTAGTTTAATTTCCTTAAAAGGGTTCGAAGCGACGAAATTTGCTGTCCCTGCATGATACCGACCGTTTCCCCATATATGGTAGTGGACACAGTGTAAAAGGAGGGAAGATCAGGCGCGTAGCTATGTTTACGTCAAAACGCCCGGGCGTACACATAAATTTTAGAGAAAAAATATTTAATCTAAATAAAATAAAAGATCTGGTTAAAAGCCTTTTAATTCTTTCCTCTATGACTTGTAATTGAAGAATGAAGTGACGAAATTTACTTTTAATCAAATGGTATCATATTATTTATACATTTGTTCATTTTCTGTCAAAGTGTGAATATCGAGCCTGTGACCTTTATGTCGCAAAAGCGACACATACCGATCTTAGATTCCGTCGGCGTCGTCAACACTTAGGTTTGGTCTGTGCATGGTTAACGTTTGTCAAACCTTCATGGAATGTAATGAAATTTGGACAGAAGCTTTCTAATGACCAAAAGATAGTATCCAGAGCATAATAAAAATATATTTTTTCCGTATTTGACTGATAAAAGGACTTTTTTTTTTGCAGTTAATACGTAGATACAGTAAGATAGTCTTAGGTTAAAGTTTGTTAAACATCAATTACTTTGTCAAACCTTCATCGAATTTTATGACAATTTGGCAGAAGCTTTTTTTATGATTAAGAGATAATGTCTGAAGCAAAATTTGAAAGTACATTTTTTTCTTCATTTTTCTGTATTTAACTGACAGACGGACTTATTTTATATTTATTTTTTTGCAATTAACAGACTGGATTAAATTTTTGTGACATGTTAAATCTTTATACCTTCATAGATTGTTATGACACTTGGATATCAGCTAATTGTTCAATTTCATAAAAAGCATCGGAATAAAAAGTTTGTTTTTTTCTTAAATTCCGCTTTTACACTGACAGCAGCAATCCCAGGCGAGACACATGCCTTACACATTTTTATGTTACACCTGACCATCTATAAACATTAATCAGTTCCTGTGTCCATAAACAAAATTTGTGCATAAAAATGGGAGAAAATAAGATGAAGTTAAAATAATTAATATATGACAACATTGAAATGGAAACTCTTTGCTTTTTGGGATTTTTGTCGATTGCTTGTGTTTAATCCCACATCTCCCTTCAAACATATTATAAAGTGACTGGTTTGGACATTTTTCTCCGAAACCTATAACCATTAGATTCCAAATGAACACAATGACTGATAAATTAACAAATTAGACCCTAAAGTATGTTACTATTGATGAGTTTTTTATGACAAATTTATTTAAAATAATATTTCTTTCTCAATAACGAGTGAGCTTCCTGGTGCTTCATCCCCAACGAACCTCTTACCAGGAAGTCCTCTGACCTAAACCTGCTGGTGGCACTCACGCCCCTCGCCAAGGTTCGGGCGTACACTTAAAAATGGCCAAGCTACGCCACTGAAGATTGACAGATAATTATATAATTATTTAGAAGGAGCAGGATAATGCATATTTACGTTGAATTTAGATACGATGTTGTGGGCTAGGATTGGTGTAAAGGTTTTGCGGAGTTAATTTGACGCACTACAGTTTAAAGGCAGTTTCAAAACATGTTTTATATTTTTGGTCTGAAACAGGTTCAAATATATATTGATTGAAATAGGTTAGAAACGGGTTACGCTTATACAGCCCTTCGATACAGTTTAAAGACCAATATATATATAAGAGATCTGGTGAATGGTACGACAGTGTCTTTTTTTAGCCTTATTAGCATAGGAATAAACACAGTTTTTGAAATGAAAATTTCAAGGCTGAAAAATACAAAAATGTAGTCATATATATTTTCACAAAGAATTCCGTTTTCGGCCACTCTTTTTGTGTATTCTGCATGGCTTTTTTTTTATAAAAGCAAAATTTAAGTGCTCTGTCATGTCTATGTGATCTTATCTGTAACAAAATGTTCTTGTTAAGGTATAATGCAATCATTTTCTTTTTTTCAAATCGATTTGTATGTAGATATCTATTGATAATTTGGCATCATGCCATATACATATATATATTTGTGATATACTTCAATCTAAGATTTGATTTAGATTTTTTGGTGTTTTAACGCCACTTTTGGGCTATTTCGTGGCGGTCAGTTTTTATTGGTGGAGGAAGCCGGATTGCCCGGAGAAAACCACCGACCTTCGATAGGAAAACTGACAATCCTAGTCAATTAAGATTGGAGTCGAGTGCACCCGCTCGAGCGGGGTTCGAACTCACAACCTCAGTGTTGACTGGCTAGTGATTACAGTAGTAACTACTTAGACCACTCGGCCACCGAGGCCCCTCTTCAATCTAAGAACTAACAATATATTATATGCTTACGATAAAAAGTCAACATACCAATACTTTTTGTAACGGATCTAAAAAATAAACTGCTTCGCTGAGCGCAGCTGGATACGCCCGCAGATGTCCAACCCTGAACAGTTGGGGCAAAAATGGACACGATATTCATGCTTGATACAGGTCTGAATTTGAATTGTATTAAATATTTGACATATTATAGGTTTCTGAATAAATGTAGTCAAAGAACTTGAAATTGGTTATATGAATTGAATTTATATTCAATTAAAGATTTCTTGTTGTTGTGCAATACACTGTGCTGTTGCGCAATACTTAGTAAATCTGTTGTCAGATTATAAACAATTAAAGTTCAATTAATTCTCAATGTCATTTTAGAAATTTATGAAAATGTAAAGGGAGCTTACATCAATAGATATAAACAATTCACCAAAGTTTCATGAGAACTGCTGAAAGCATTTTTGATTTTTTGTCCGAAAACTGGAAAATCCCCCTTTTTTATGAATAAAACCCTCTAACTCGAAAACGTAACGTCTAAAATATATAAAAATCGAAAAGGAGCTCACGTCAATAGATATTATAAACAATTCACCACAATTTCTTGCAAGTTGGTGAAAGCATTCTTGAGTTATTGTCCGAAAACTGGAAAATCCCCCTTTTTTAATGAACAAAACCCCATAACTCGGAAACGTAAAATCTAAAATTTATAAAAAACGAAAGGGAGCTCACGTCAATAGATATAAACAATTCACCAAAGTTTTATGCAAATTGGTTAAAGCGTTTTTGAGTTTATGTCCGACATGTTGACGACGGACGGACAGACGGACAACGGTATACCATAAAACGTTCCGTAAACGGGCGTATAATGATACAAATATAAATTTTTGGAATGATTATGCCTTTTAAAAGCTTTTATGATAGAACAGAAATTTATGACAGACAGTTGTTTTGAAGAAATTATTTCAATTGTCAATAAACTTTCAGCCATTTTTTCTTGTTTAGTATCTCTTAATTCTTTTTAAAACTATACAAATAATGTTAGAAAATAATTTGTTATATTCTATACAGTTTAAAATTTGACAATAAAACGTATCTAAAATAACTGCCCCGGTTTTATCTCTCATGTTTTTAGTCCGTCCCTTCGTCGATATAACTTCCGGTATCGAAAATCGAAGACTTCTGAGATTTTTGTGTGTGCAGGAACTAGTCGTCTATATTATTGCCATTCTTAGATAGATTGTATTTGATGTAGAATCAAAAAAATAATGTCTAAAACACCATGTAAATATTATTTGTATTTCATTTCTGATTAATGTTTGTGTTGTAAAAGAAGACCCCACCAGACAAGAATGAAGAAAGTGAAAGGAGAGTGTATACATACATTTGTAAACACATATATGAATATAAACCAGCGGTTGACAATTTTCATGGCAATGTCTAAGGCCAGGACTTGCACCAAAAAAATAAGCCACACCTAGTTAAAAAAAAACCCAGGATAAATAAAAAATTTAACCTGTTAATGTATCATGTGTGTGATGTAACTTTGTAAGACGTTTCGGCAAATTATACTACCAGTTGGGTCATAGTCGTTTCGGCTACACATAGTAAAGCTGTTTCAGCTAATCTGCTAGGGATTTTTGCTATAAGGGAGGGACATATAAAATGTACCTACAAACATACATGAACAAGTTGAAAATACATAAAGAATGCAGTTATATTTAAGTTGGCAGTGTCTGCGCGTACTCGCATGCGGATAAGAATAGTCAAATTGCCATTCATAGGCTACGCGTACCCACATCCGGTTTTATAATAAAATGCCATGGGATCAGGAATGAAACGTGAAATATATACGAAAATTATCGATAATATGGGGATTTCGTGTAGAACGAGTGAAGAGTATGAAAAATAATATTTTCAAATTGTATTTATTAGATAATGATACATGATAAACATTGCAAATTAAATGCACACTGATGGAAAATGAAACTGTACAGTCCCTGTAATAGTAAAACATGATAAAAATTCATACTATTATAAAATGTAAATGCAAATTTAAAGAATAAAATTTAACTGATTTTGAAAAATACCCATATGAGATTTAAAAATAATCTTTTAGTAAAATTTAGTAAAACTGAAATTTTAAAATATCTTATTAAAAGGACTAAAATTAAAGCTTGGGTGTCTATATAAAAATTAAAGAAGCAAGTAATAATGTCAAATTAAACCAATTATAAAAGATTCATGAAACTAATTAAGATTTGGAACAAAATTTACATATCCAATATGATTGTTTTGGCACATATTTCAGTGTTCCAGCTAGGATTTGAAAATAGAGGGGCGCGTTTTAAAAAAAGGGCACTTTAGCGCGTTCTCCTGAAAAAAATCAAATATTTAATATTACCACATAATGACATATTTTTAGCAAGCATGTAGCTAAGTTATATACTCTATACTATTACATACATTGAAAATTGTGTAGGTTTGGTTGTGAATTTAAATAAGAGTGCCAATGAGACAATTGTCTTTATTTCGATTTTGAGAAATAGATTGATTCAACAAATAAGTTTGTTAATTCAACTTTGAAAGTTTATTATCAATTCAACAAGCATCTCCGTAAATTTCATGTTGAGCGTATCTAATAATATCAATAAGTTTGTCAAAACGGATTTCAATCAGAAAATTGATACAAAAATCGGACTTTCGAGAACTCCGTAATTGGCACAATAATAAATTAATTCGACTTTGAAAGTTTATTATCAATTCAACATGCATATCCGTATATTTCATGTTGAGCGTATCTAATAATATCAATATTAAAGTTAGTCAAAACGGATTTCAATTTAAGAAAAATGATATAAAAATCGGACTTTCGAGTGCTCCGTAATCGGCGGAATTTACAATAGAAGAACAATTGCGATATCTGATAGAAACCTTTCTTCTTCTCGATTTTTCATAAAGGTAAAGAATTATATTATTTTTTTACCTTTGATGGTCATTATTCTTGAAAAAAAGATGTAATAGACTGGCATGTCTTTGATATTTTCTTCTTGTCATTTTCGAGTTGGTCAATTTTTCTTTTTTTCGTCGGCATTTTGCGTGTTGACGATTTACAATATACTATTGGAATGATTCTTTTTTAATGAATGTTATTTTATAAATAACAATTACAATAGAAATGAACATCGTTCACATTTATTTTATAAATTCTATTTTGCATCGTCAGGTGTTAAAAAATCAATTCATTTAACTTAGATGTTTGGTGCTTCAGGGCAAAGGGATTAGACAGGGTCGTAAATTTCACCTGATTAAGTAATTGACTCTAATCAAATAGGTGATTATATACAGGTAACAAGTGTCAACAATTTTAATCTGTTGTCTTAATGAAGTGTGTGTATAAAGAACTCAACAAAATGGCGACGATATGAGGAAAAAAGATCGTTTTCTAAACTTTTTTCAAAAGGGCACAGAGGGGCGCAGGGGCGCTTAAAAAAGGCAGAGGGGCGCAAAATTTCGGGGGCGGGGCGCGGCGCCCCTCCATTTCATGCTAGCTGGAACACTGTATTTCAACCCTGCACATTTCAAAGGTTGCCAGTCCAAACAACAATCACAGGCCAAAGAGTCCTGATCATGTAGGTTTTTTTTACATTTGATACATATCCATTCGCATGATTCTCTTCTTTCGTCTTCCCCACGTGTATATCACTCTCTTCCATTTTAAGAATATTTATTTACTGAGAAAAACTGTTCACTTACCTATATATAAATATTTATAAAAATTCTAAGTAGTTTTAATCAATTTATTCACTAATTGCGACAAATTCCGTATATATTTCACGTTTCATTCCCAATCCGATGGCATTTTATTGTAAAACCGGATGTGGGTACGCGTAGCCTATGAATGGCAATTTGACTACTATGCGGATACGCGCAGACACTGCCATTAAAATTTTATATTAGAAATTTATTTAAAAGAGAGACTAAAGATATCAAAGGGATATTCAAATTCATAAATATTAAAAACAAACTGACAATGCAATGGAAAAAAAACGCTAAAATGATGAAAAGACGAACAACAGTACACAGAATACAAACATAGAAATCTTAAGCTGAGCAACACAAACCCCATAAAAAAATGCTGTACCAGGGGGGTGTCAGGTGCTGCAGAAGGGTAAGCAGATCCTATTCAGCATGTGGCACCTGCCGTGTTGCCTATTTTAAGTACAAATTTATGATGCATACAAACAATCGGATACATATACATAGATTTTTACATTGTCATGGGCAATTGGCCATGATAGTCTACTAGACAAGAACTTGTCAGGAAGAGAAAAACCACATGTCCAAATTTGTACTTGCTTGGGAAATTTTTACTGGGACCACCAAATGTGTAGTCTTGGTGGTCCTAATGACATGAATGACCACTAAGCTAACAAAAAGGTTTTGAGAACTCTGTGCAGTGTACATGTTTGAAGAGCAAGTAAAAAATAAAAGTTAAAAAAATATTGTATCTATCATCTGACCCTGCTGACACTTATTTCTCTTTTTATCAATAAATTATCTCAAACAGCCCTGACAATATCATCAAAATCACTAATTTGAGTAGACTATTTTTTTCCCTTTCTAACCATAGCCAATTCAATAGTATTGGCCAATCCTAGGACTATTTTTTTGTTGACTTACATTTTGATGGACCAATCATACATGTCGTATGAGCATGATGAGACATAGCAATTTTAGAAAACAAGTAAAGATTGGAACCAGAATAATAAAGACATGAAAGAACTGAAATTTATAGTGAAATTAAAAAAATGTATCCTCAAAGTTTATAAGCACAATCATGTCACTGAGTTCAGTCACTGAGAGTTGTTTTTCTGGATAAAAAATATGTCCATATTTTTCAAGATAGACATACATTGTATGAAGAAGAATACATTTAGGAACTTTTAAGCGGTATTTTGAAGAAGTAAGAACCTAAAAACAATAAAATGAATTTGTGTCCATATTGGCATACCTTACATAGAAAAAATATTTAGGCTTTTGAATTCCATTATTTTTTTTTGAGGTGGGGGGGGGGGGGGGTCTTCATTTCTGTATTCTTTAGTTCTTTTGGCCATTTTCTCTATTTTATAATATGCTTGCCTATTATTCTATGTTCTTTATATTTTAGCTTTAACACCATCCAGACATTTTTTTTATCAAGTTGAAACCTGTGAAAATTGTAGTAGTATTCAGTATTGTTTTAAAGTTCATGAAGTTACTTTTAATTATTTTTCAGGAGATATACATATAACAAACAGTAGAAGTAAGATAAAAAAAAAGAAATGGCCAGTTCTGGTGATGATGGGACAGACAAAAGTATCCCTGTGAATTTTGTTCCATGTATTTCTCCAAGAGCATGTTCTAGTGCTGTGAGTACTGATTCTGTTGCTAGTGTTCAAGACTCCATACAACCCGAGGAAGAATATCGCTATGTTGAACTTTCCCATCCAGCCCAGCTTTTGTCTGGGTTAAGAGACCTACAAAACAGAACACAGTTTTGTGACGTTATAATTTCCGTGGATGGGCAGGAATTTCCATGTCATAAAGTGGTGTTATCTGCATTTAGTCAGTATTTTAGGGCAATGTTTGGTGGAGGTTTAGCTGAAAGCCAACAAAGAAAAGTTTCACTGAATGGCGTTGAACCGGCTATGGTACAAACATTAATAGATTACGGTTATACGTCTGAGGTGGTGATTACAAGACAAAATGTCCAATCTCTTTTATCTGCTGCTAATTTGTTAGAAATTATTCCAGTGAAAGAAGCTTGTTGTTTGTACCTTGAAAAAAACATGGATGAATTAAATTGTGTTGGTATACACTGCTTTGCCGAACTACATGCATGCTCGGAATTACAACAAAAATCAAAAGTTTACATATTACACCATTTTCAGTCAGTCTGGCAACATGAAGAATTTCTTCAATTAACCAAAGTAAAATTAGTCGAAATTTTATCTGATGATGATCTCAACATTGACAATGAAGAAATAGTTTATCATGCAGCTATACGATGGCTTGACCATGATGTTGGAAATCGAAGGAATGGATTTGAGAGTGTTTTAGAATGTGTTCGCCTGCCACTAGTCAGTTGTTATTTTATTCATGATCATGTCGAAAGCCATGAAGTTATTAAATGTTCTCAAGCATGTCAGAAGCTTGTTAAGGAGGCCAAAGATTTTCATCTGTTACAGGACAGGAGAGCTGAATTTTCTAGTCCACGTACAAAAGTTAGGAAATCTTCAGGTATGTTTTTCGGTTTTCCAACAGGTATAAATATAGGCACTGTGGATTCATTATTATTTGTGGGATACCAATTATTTTGGATTTTGGAGTTACAGGTGAGCCATGAATTACAAAATTTCTATAGACTTGTAGGCAAACTTTAGCAAAACCATGAAATTAAATATCAACGAAAATGCAAGTTTTACTCAATTCACAGAAATTGGTACGCACGAAAATAAATGAATCCACAGAACATTGTTGTTGCATTTCAATAAATACCATCTCCATATACATGATATATGTGTTCTAATGCAACTGAAAGAAATCACAAAAATATCACTAATTCATACATTTTAAAATCAGTCACACAACATCTGCACTTTCACATACAATTTCAGACTATCAATAGTGGAATTGATGGCCTGGAATTTGTGGCATTTTTCAATCAAATTGAACATTACAAACAATGTTGCAATAGAATAGAATTTGAATATCTTTCTACTGTCATTACTTTCAATTGACTGTAGAAAATATAAAATGTTTTATTTATATACAGAACATGATTTTTCACAGTGAATGCCGGTGAAACCCAGTGGGAGGAAAGACATCTATAAACACACATATGATCTTCAACAATACATCTAGGTGTCTCTTCACATTTGAACCTAATATATAAATAAAACATGAAACAATACATGTACAACATGTATGTCAAGCTCTAAATTTTCTAACACAGTTATGACATGACTTGACAGAGAAGTATCAAAGATGAAGCCAATGAGATGGTAACTCTGAAATTGACCGTTGGACAAATAATAATTATTGATTATCAGTTAAGGATGTACTTAGGTCAGGTTTAGGAATTTGTGTCAAAACTTAAGCAGTTAAGTAGATTCTAGATTTCTTTTCTTTTGATTTGAGACCCAAATAATACCTGTGCAAATATAAGGTAAACATGGTTAAAGTCAGAGACCGTCTTTTCCCGCCATAATCTATCAATATTTTTAGCTTATTTTGTTCCTTAACTAACTGGCTAATGCTCTTCCGACTTAAAGTATCAATTTTAAATTCTAGATTTTTTTAATTTCACGTAAGTGCATCCTTAATACCCCTATAGACAGAAACCAAATGACACAATAAAGTGTAGCAAAATTTATAAAATGTACATGTATGTATAATTATGTGGCTTAGAGATACATGTACAGGTACAAATGTAGATTTATATTATTGATTTTTTTATAAAAGATAAAACAGAAGTCATTGTAGCTGTTGGAGGAGAAGATGATAAAGTTGTACTCAGAAGTGTGGAGACCTATGACCCTAACACATTGTCATGGAAACCATTAGCCTGCCTTCCATTTGCAATCAGTAAACACGGAATTGTATCAGCAGGTTTGTGTGCTGTATATCACTAGGCTAACCGACCTTATGTTTGAATGTTGACCCTGAAACATTTTATTGCCTTATTATTTTATTAAAGAAAAGTGTTTCTGTCTAATTAGAGTAGACAACAAATCCTATTTTTATTTTTTTTAAAATTGACCAAAATTAAGTGAAAAAATTCATCATAACAAATTGCTAAAGCATATTTACTCAAAGAAATTACTTTTTATGTCAGATAATGTTATTTGGTAATCATGCTAATGACAATGCAATAGTTATCCTTTTGTATATATGAAGTAGTCATTTTTTGTAAGAGATTTATCTTTTTTAGGCATGTTAGGAAAAAGAATTCTTATTGTTGGAGATAGTAATCTTTTATGGGATACAGTTTTTCTGGATTTTGTCATTTCTACCTGCTGTTGCCAGCCCACTACCGCAAACTCAAATTTAAGTTAGATTTATTCAAAAATATTAAATTGAAAATCTTAAATATTTATTTTCCTGCAAATGTCCTGTGTAAATTACATTCAATTCTTATGATAATAGATGGATTATGATGATGACTGGCTGTTTAACATCTAGTGTCTAATTAAGATCATATTTAGCATAAGAACATGTTTAATGTGATATGTATTTGAACCTGCTTTGTACTAGACTAGATTTTTGTCGAGCCTGCGACTTTTGTCGCAGAAAGCTCGACATAGGGATAGCGATCCGGCGGCGGCGGCGTTAGCTAACTTCTTAAAAGCTTTATATTTTAGAAGATGGAAGACCTGGATGCTTCATACTTTGTATATGGATGCCTCATGTTACGAAGTTTCCGTCAGTGTCCAATGTCCTTGACCTCATTTTCATGGTTCAGTGACTACTTGAAAAAAAAGTTCAGATTTTTTGTAATGTTAAATTCTCTCTTATTATAAGTAATAGGATAACTATATTTGGTATGTGCGTACCTTGCAAGGTCCTCATGCCCGTCAGACAGTTTTCACTTGACCTCGACCTCATTTCATGGATCAGTGAACAAGGTTAAGTTTTCGTGGTCAAGTCCATATCTCAGATACTATAAGCAATAGGTCTAGTATATTCGGTGTATGGAAGGACTGTAAGGTGTACATGTCCAACTGGCAGGTGTCATCTGACCTTGACCTCATTTTCATGGTTCAGTGGTTATAGTTAAGTTTTTGTGTTTTGGTCTGTTTTTCTTATACTGTATGCAATAGGTCTACTATATTTGGTGTATGGAATGATTGTAAGGTGTACATGTCTAGCTGGCAGGTGTCATCTGACCTTGACCTCATTTTCATGGTTCAGTGGTCAAAGTTAAGTTTTTGAGTTTTGGTCTTTCTTTCTAATACTGCATGCAATAGGTCAGCTATATTTGGTGTATGGAATGATTGTAAGGTGTACATGTCTAGCTGGCAGGTGTCATCTTACCTTGACCTCATTTTCATGGTTCAGTGGTCAAAGTTAAGTTTTTGAGTTTTGGTCTTTTTTTCTAATACTATATGCAATAGTTCAACTATATTTGGTGTATGGAAATATTTTATGATCTATATGTCAGTCACGCAGGTTTTATTTGACCTTGACCTCATTTTCAAGGTTCATTGCTCAGTGTTAAGTTTTTGTGTTTTCGTCTGTTTTTCTTAAACTATAAGCAATAGGTCAACTATATTTGTTGTATGGAAGAATTGTTAGCTGTACGTGCCTGCCTAGCATGGTTCATCTGACCTTGACCTCATTTTCATGGTTCATTGGTCAATGTTTAGTTTACTTGGTTAATGTTAAGTTTATGTGACAGTTGTAATAAAGCTTTATATTTAGGACTATCAACATAATATCAATGATTAGTAAAGAAGGCGAGACATTTCAGCGTGTGCACTCTTGTTAACATGATAGGTGACCATCCATGGGAAATCATGTCACTCTCCCTGGGGAACATTATTCTGATTTGGGGCCAACCAGTCTTTGCTCTTATTCCAGAATGCTGTGTACTTAGTAAAGAAGCAGCAAAAACCAATTTTAAAACCTTTGGATTGACCTAGCCAGGGATCGAACCCACAACCTCCTGCACTCAAGGCAGGCACCCTACTATGAGACCGCCAAGGCAGTTACATAATGATAGAAATTCCAATCTTAAGGATGTGTACAGGGGACTTTCTAGAAGTTTTGGAAATCGCAAAAACCCAAATGAGCGAAAATGTTTTTTTTTGGTATGTTTTGTTGGGGATAGCATCTTTTTAAAAAAGAATTTTTTATTTTTACAGGTGACAGTTATCTTTTCCTGGCTGGTGGTGAATACCCTGATGGATCAGCCAACAAAAGTGTAATGAGATATGACCCTTGTCTGGATGTTTGGACTGAAGTGGCACCAATGAACATAGCCAGATCTGAACTAGGTAAGGCCTGGACTGCAATAATAATATCAACAGTTTTTATAGCCTGTATAGCAAAATGACCCTTCAAATTTATTAAATCGCAGAATGTTATGTTTTGAACTGACAGAGCCCTGATTGTCAATTTATTGTGGATAGCATATGAATCATAAATTGGATATGTCTTGATGACCAAAGTATGTCTATATTCAGTATACATTATGCCCTTGTGTTCTTTGTACACACAGTGATCTTATCTGGATGGATCATGGTATAATATTTGTTCTGTAAAAACATGAAAAAGAAACATGTAGCATGATTTTTATCATAGAATATTTTTGTATTCTTATATGTTAAATATTTGTTATTTCTGAATCAAAAAAAAAATTGGACAAGTGAATAAGTGAAATTTCAATTTACACTTGTGCTGCTTACAGAAATGATGCCCCCTTTTTTAAGAAATGAACTGAAATATTAAGAAAATATTTTTTATCTTTAGAATGTCAGCAAACCAATCAACTGTTTAATGAGTTTACAGTTAAAACTTATTACAGTAAGAATAAATTTTTTTGAAGAATTTGATAATTTCTCAAAACACCCTAGTACTTTTCTTATACCTGCTGTGATGTATAGTGTACAATGGGAGATAACTCAAATCAAAATTCATTGCATTTTTTACAAGTTTTATCTTTCTAATGAAGTTAGTTTTCTCTGGTTTTGAGATGTTTGTGGTTGAATGTCTGCTATGATTACATTCCTGTCTTCGTTATGGACTTTATTATGATAATGAATAGGTAAGAAAAAAACAAATTACCATTTGAAGGTATTTTCAAAAAAAATAACTGTTTCCAATGATGCCAAAGTTTAAGCATGTTAAGGGGGTACCCAACAGTTTTTGGTGGGGTTCCTGTTGCTCATTCTTTAGTTTTCTATGTTGTGTTTTGTGTACTGTTGTTTGTCTATCGGTCTTTTTCTCTTTTAGCCATGGCGTTGTCAGTTTATTTTTCGACTTATGAGTTTGAATGTCCCTTTGGTATCTGGCTGGGATGGTTATGTTAGATTGGACAGTGTAGAATATTACAATAAAATGACATTAACTTTGTAGGTTTGGTGATGTTAGATGGATTTATGTATGCTATAGGGGGCTGGGATGGTAACGTCAGATTGGACAGTAGAATATTACAATATAATTTTCTTTGCAGGTTTGGTGATGTAAGATGGATTTATATATGCTATAGGGGGCTGGGATGGTAACTTTAGATTGGACAGTGTAGAATATTACAATATTATTTTCTTTGCAGGTTTGGTGATGTTAGACGGATTTATGTATGCTATAGGGGGCTGGGATGGTAACATTAGATTGGACAGTGTAGAATATTACAATATAATTTACTTTGTAGGTTTGGTGATGTTGGACGGATTTATGTATGCTATAGGGGGCTGGGATGGTAACGTCAGATTGGACAGTGTAGAATATTACAACATAGAAACCAACGTCTGGACCATGATTCTACCAATGAAGATAGCACTAACCAGTCCTGCATGTGTATCTCTCAATGGCATGTTGTATGTGACAGGTAACTTTTTATATTTTAGTGCAAACTTTAAAACTTAAAGGAGTAAATTCGGTAAGGGCCAAACTTGGCCCTGATTATTAAGTTCAATGTTTCAGGATAAAAAATATGTTAAATTGATGAAAAGACATGTGAGAAAGTTAAATAGAAATATTTTTGTCAAAGTTTTATTTTGAAGAGTTGATTTGTACATTCTAAATAGGTCAAAAATAGAGATTTTTGCAAAATTTGACAAAATCGTACTGATTTCAACCAAATTAAGGCCTAGGAAACAAAGAGTGCAGGCTTCGATAAACTAAATATTTAAGTCCGATATGTAAAATGTCATAACAAAGATTATGTTAAAAGATCTCTTTTGTCGACGCCTGCGCTCTATGTTTCCTGTCTTAGAAATCAATGGAAATTTACTCGTTTTCATTTCATTTTCGTGGAAAATCAAATCGAGTGCTATTTGTGACGTCATGAATAGAACGAAAGTACGTAAATTTTCAACAAAAAGACATATTTTCTATCTAGTCATTGTATTAGCTATGATTCATTGTGATATTGGTCAATATTAATTCTAATTTTAAATTTTAGCTAGAAATAGAGGCCATTTTAGGGCCTTATCGAACCTACTCCTTTACATTGTTCAGATTTTTAGGGTGGAAATAGCCAATTATACACTATAACATTTTAAAACGGGTATGAACATAGAAATAGAAATTCTTATACATCTTGTGTTTAACAAGTCATTTTTATTTGACAAATCATATATTTTTAAGGGATAAAATACATGGTTTACCTTTCACAATGTTCTCAGCTATATTTTGCTCCCCTATATATACATGACATATATGTTATTAGAATTTGTATACATGAATTCATGTACATGCAGTGTTTAAGAATATTTTATCATGAATTGATACACCATATTCTTTTTCTTCAATTATTCCAATATGTTGTAGGTGGCGCTGTGTTAGAAGATGGAGATGGAATTGACATTGTACAGCTATTTAATCCACGTACCCAGACATGGAGTGAAATGAGGTCGATGAAGATTCCACGGTCAGGTTCTGGTGCCTGTGTACTGGATGGAAAAATCTATGTCATAGGTAGAAAACAGTTTTCTTGTATACACAAATGGGAGATTGATGTAATTCTTTAGAAAATATAAAGTAAAACAGCAGATAACTCTTAAACTTTATAGAAAATGTATTACTTAAACGGGAAATAACTCTTTATCTCTGTAAAAATATTTTAGAAATGGGAGATAACTCTAAAACCCTACAGAATATATAACTTGTCAAATGGGAGCAGGCCATATTCTTGCCGGCGAAATGACGATTTAAGTCGCCAAAGAATTTTGAAAATCGCTAAATCTCGCCGGCCGACTGACTTCATAGCGAATTCAAATCACTTTCAAAATAGGTGAAAGGGAGACAACTTGTGATTGACAAATCTCACAGGTAAAAAAATGGCGGCTGACAAGGGGGTCTCATTGGGGGGTTCTGATCCCGTATCCCGCTTACTGTTTTGTCAGATTCCCGTATCCCGCTTACACTATGTACATAAGCAATTCTATTTTTTTTGTAATTTCCCGTGTCCCGCTAGACTTCATTTCCCGTTTTCACGGCACAATAATTTGACTTTCACGTGTCACGCTTACAAAAAATCGGCAATCCCGGGTCATGCTTAGACCCCAATGAGACCCACTGACAAGGAAAAATCGAGATTTTCGAAACGACCCAGGACTAATACTGTCAATGATCAAATTAAATAAATACAAAGGCGACTTTGAACATCCTCGGATTTAGCATTCAAAACTATTCAAACGGAAAACTGACCGTCTGGTTCAGTTATCATTTTACGATGATTTTCATCTGAGGATGTTGCGTAATCACTCAGCTGATTTGTTTAATTTTTAATACTTACACGAGTCGATAAATTTTACTATTCGGTAGGTAAAGGGTGGGAATTAACGGTAGATTTATTATATTGATTGAATAAAAATTGAAATATAAAAGGTAGAAAGACAGCTGATGGATAAATGATAGAAATTAGCTCTTTATCGGATAATTGATATGCGATTGAAAGATTTTTTTCATTTATAGACTTACAATTTTTAACGATAATCTCAATTTACAACTAACATAATGTCCTGGACATTCAATAATTTTTTACAAAATAATGACAAGTGGTGATATAAGTTAAATTCCCAGTCATGTGAAATTCATCAGGTAAACTGGGAGTCATATTTTTTCTGTACTTTTAAAAATAAATTGAGGCAGATGCACATGAATTTAATGCATCATAATCATGATAATATTACTAGGCTACTGCCTCATGTCCCAATCAACAAATTTTATTTAGTCTAAGAACACAATGGTATCAATAAATAAATAACAACTATATATTGTCTAAACCTTTTTATTAAGAACTTTCTATATATACATTGTGTACAATAACATGAAAAAACTACAAGTATCTTTATTGAATATAAAACAATTTCCTTAGTGATAAGCATGAAAACACGATGCAACCGAAACGGTAATGGAATCTCACTTCTCCAAGAAATTGACCACTTCTCCCTTCTCTCTCATGGAAGGAGAAGTCACTTCTCCCTCTTCAAAATCCTAGATTAGGCCCTGAATGGGAGAAAACTCTATCTCTATAAAACATATCTTTGGTAATGGGACACATCTCTTGATCTTTTAGAAAAGATGTTACTCCCATGGCAGATAAATCTTTATTTCTGTTTAAATATCTTCTTGAACCTACTCAAAAGTCACCTCACTGATGAGTTCAGTTTTTACAGGTTGCGGTGGTGACTTTTATATGCAGATTTGACTACAATTGTATTAATACTTGCATTATATATTCTAATCTCATTATTTTTTGGCAGCTTTTACTTAAGTTAATGTGACATTTTTGTGCATTTATTAATAGTTGCAATGATAAATGCTGACATTTCTTGTAACAAGTTCTGATGGCATGACAAAAAATGTTTCAAAACTAGAATATTTCAAAATCTTAGTTGAACAATAATTAATTGTATGAGTTTTCTTTGATTTTTGGTTGATATAAAGTATTTTTTTCCAATATTGTAGATGGTAGATGTGAGTCTAAATGTTATCTCCCATTTGTATATATATATTTTTAAAGAGTATTAGAGTTATTTCCTATTAGAGTAAATATATTTCATAGAGCTGACAAGTTCTGAATTTGAAATAATAGATTTTTCATTGACATAATTTGAGTTGCAGTTATTTCCCTTGGATGCTTGTACAAGTAATAGTGATTGATGGATTAAACAAGGCTTTAAGAAATGAAAATTGTGCTGAAAACATCTTTTTCTAAAGCAACGGGACATGTTATATTTTGTGAATTTATGAAAGAATTTGTGCACATGGTGGAAAAGGGAAATAACTCTTCACTCAGAATTACCTAAATTCAATTTTCTATGTTGTGTTTTGTGTACCGTTGTTTGTATTTTAGTCTTTTTCTTTTTTTGCCATGACGTTATGTTCCTTTGGAATCTTTCGCCCCTCTTTTTCAAAGCTACCTATTTATTGTATATTTCCTAATTCTCAATATTTTATAGGAGGATGGCATGCTTCCACAGAGAACACAAAGCGAGTAGAATGTTATGATCCAAAGACCAACACATGGATAGAAAGATGTCCTCTACATGAGAGAAGATATAGGCCAGGTGTAGCGGTGGTTGGTGGTAAAATATATGCCTGTGGGGGAGAAGAAGGTTGGGACAGGTATGTTTAAATAAACTTCGTAATGCTTTTAAGGTGAATTGCTTTATGAAAACATTAAATCCAGAAATTTTTGCAATGTCTTCATTATTTCAAAAATTGCGACAGTATAAGTTTCGCAAAAATAAAGCTGATATTTAAAATTAAAATAGTCTTATGTGTATGCAGCATTTACTCAAATCAAAATGAATAATCTAGGATGTATGTATATTGTTCAACAATCACACTGATAAATGCTCTAAAAATTTCTGAACTTACAGAATACAGATAAATAGAGAGGGTATATGTCATTGAGTGATTAACTCAATGACAAAAAAAAAAACCAATCACCTCGGTGGTCTCATGGAAGAGTGTTCCCCTGGTGGGTTGGAACATCGGCCTGGGCAAAGCAGACTTTAAAATTGGTATTTGCTGCTTCTCCGCAAAGCATGCAGCATTAAGGAGTAAGAGCAAAGACTGGTCGGCTCAGATTCAAAATAATGTGTCCGGGGAACGTAACATGTCTTCCTGTGGACTGTTACCTTGTGAACTAGCACAGCTCAGCCTGTCAGTCTAGAACAAAGCAGGGTAAATATTCATATTACATTAACATGTTCTTGTCCTGAATATGCATATCAATTTGCTGCTGGATGTTAAGCAGCCATCCATCCATCATCATAAAAAAAACATGAGATACATCTTGAGGTGAAAATAATCATAAACAAAATACAAGTGCCCATGCAATATGTAAAGCTGTAACAAATAAAAAAACACTTTCTAAATTTCATACGTCCGAAGCACTTTTTTTGGAATCACCTTCATTAAGAAAGCTCAATGCAGAATGTTTGAAAGCCAAGGATGTATAAGAACAGAAACAGTTAAAGAGCTTTAAATCATGCTTGAAGATATTGACTTGAAATTTGTTATATAGTTTACACCATGACAAGTTATAGATCAAGTTAGAATTTTGTTCCAATGCAATGAATTTTTAACCGGTAGGGGACTATGTATTGCAATGCAATACTCACAGAATGCTTGTTTTAATATTCATTTGATATTTCAGATATCATGATACAATTGAATGCTATGATCCTATAACTGACAGCTGGGAAATTATCGGTGAAATGCAAACCAGTCGTAGTTGGTTAAGCTGTGTTTCCATGGTGATACGAAAAGATCTGATTGGCAAGGACAGAAATACAACACACCAGTGCACTGTCTAATTTAATGGCAGCCACTAAAAATAAAATAAGCATAATGTGATTATATATATATGAAACCATGTGATTACATTGAGAAATACCATTTGAGGCTCACTTATTGATTGCAAATCAATGTGTGTTCTTGAACTTTTGACTTCTGGTTTCAACAGTAGGCTTCAGGATGTTTGTTGCTCTGTTTCAAAATAACAAGCTTTTAAAAAGACTGTTATAAATGGTATACTGTGGATTCATTATTATTCGTTGGATACCAATTTTCGTGGGTACAGGTGAACCACGAATTCAAATGTTCAAGGAATTGCAAATTTTCTAAAGGCTTTGTATGCACACATTGGCAAAACCACGAAATCAAATATCCACGAAATTGCACATTTTCCTCTATCCACGAAAATTGATACTCACTAAAATAAATGAATCCACGGTATAAATGACAGAACTAAAAAGCAGAGAAAAATGAAGGTCTGTGTCCTTGTTTTTGAGATATAAGCTATTGAAAATTTGGTGGAAAATGATTCACTCTAGATTTTTCATACATCTAATATTGGCCTTTTTTCTTCATTCAAAAACAATGAAAAAATAACAAGGATTTTATAAGATTTTCAAAGTATATGTAATCAAGTTATGGGGAAAAAAAGTAGGGGTTAGCAGGCAAAATCTTTATTGGCACTTCACAGAAAAAACCAGAGGAGTCTGAATATTTGAAAAAAGTGAAAAACTGTGTCAGCGACCATCCTTAAATGAGTTTATATTGTCTGTAATTGATTGACAGATGATTTGTGCATTGTAACTTTTCAATGCATGGCAAATAACCTTTTACAGTACTATGGAAAATATTTTATTCATGGGATACCAACTTTCTGGAATTTATAAGTATAGGTTAAACACGCATTTAGGTGGGCTATGAGTACACATTTTCTGTATGCTTGTTTGCTAACTTTGAAAAAAACCACGAAAATCAGATATCAAAGAAAATACCATTTTTTCTCAATCCACTAAACTTGGTTTAAGGGAAACAAATTATCTACAGTATGTTCAACATATAAGGAAATTTTTATCATTTAAGGAAATGAAATTTTTTCCTGATTTTTTAATATCACAATAGTAGATGTTTGAAGCCACTGAAGTTAGCTGGTTCTAATGTGAGGTCAGTTGTTTAAAAGTCAGTGAGCGCAAATTTGTATACAACATCTTGATTTGTCATTAATGAAGGCAGATAGTACTAAGTCAGTCTAATTATGAAACTAGTGGCAAAGTGAAGAATAAAATTATTTTGATTTTGGATTAGATATTGAAGTTTTGAATGATAAGTTTAACCTAGTATATCATCCTTTATCGTTTTATCTAATTGAGAAAACCAACTAGGATACATGTTCTTTTTTTAGTGGGTGGGGGTGGGGGGGGTGGTGATTCAACAATCAATCAATGAATCAATGAATCACAGTTTGAACAAAATCATGTGCCAAAGTTTCAATTTGAAAATAAAACAATCGTGTAATTTTTCCTGTATTTATTTAGTAATTAATTGTTAAGGGGGTACAGAACACATAAAGGAGTTAACTCTTCCTAAATCAGCTGAACATTTTAATCACAAATTATTAGTAAAGAGAAATCAAGCTTCTTAATGATCAAAATTAGTGTTTGTCAAACTGCTATATATCCAATGAAATTATTCCTGTTAATTGTGTGGTTCAAATTTTTTGTAACAGCTCCAAATAATTATTTTGTCAGTTTTATGAAAATTAAACGAGGCCAAATCTTTTTTAGTCAAAGTGTTGGGTACCCCCTTTATTATAGATATAAGTATTAAGAATACTGTTTTAGCTGATACATTGAATGCATAATATTTCCAGCCAGGTAATATATATATAGTTATTGCTATTTTGTGTATTTTCCCTTTGATTTTGTTTTGGATAATTTTTCAAATCATACTACTTGCTATTAGCTTCTGAGGGCTCACGTGCCATTGCCAATGTAAACATCAACGACATCATTGGAAAAATAGCAATAAACAGATTATCAATGGTCATTCAAACTCTAGGATGTTTCTCAGTGACATCTTATCTCAGGGCTGTCGCCCTTCAATGAGATTGTAGCTGAGAAACACCCTCTTGTTTAAAAAACCATCAGTAATCTATAAATATTCCAGTAATTGTTAACAGTAAGATCTGAGTAGAAAGAATAATCTTTTACAATCTGTAAATTTAGATTATTTTTGTAACAATTCATTACTGTTAATATTTCATGCAATATGAGATGAGAGGTTAATTTTTCATTCATACATAGATTTACGTTATATATATGAAAATTTATCAATTTTTAGCTATAAATTATAACCTTTACGTCTAATTTTGTGTAGATGGTAGGCTATTGATCTCAGCTGTTAGATTTTATCTTTTTATTTTTGTGCAGGAGAGGGGTGGGGATGACGAGTTTGTCATGTTCTATAGTAGTGTGTCTGTTGTTGAAGACTATGGGTTGACCTCTGGATGTCTTATCATGTGTTGTGTGTTAACATTTCTGTCTCATTGATGTATACCAATTATCTCCCTTGATTCATATTGAATACTGAGTGTTTTAATGTCCAATTTTCATAGGGATATTTCTCTTGAAAGCAAATTGTTAAACTCACATTTTATTTTGGTGAGTTTAAAAAATTATGTTACATATACTTTTATTATAGTATATCAATACTTTTTGACTACATTTTGTATGTGAATAGAGTTGAATCATTTGCAGAAAAAAGAGGAAAATACATAATTTTTTTTTATATATATTTCATATTCCCAAGGAGAATAACTGCAAAACCCAGCAAAGTGAATTTAAGTATTAAATTGACATTAAATGTCATCAGTACAATTTCTGTTGGATGATAAATTTGAAAACGATAAATTCAGAACTTACTGCATGCCTTCATTTTTTTAGATTGTCTAGCAATGGACACAAACACGAGATTAATTTTTACAATATCAGGAAACGCTGCACATAAATAATGCTATTGAAATTGAAAATATAAGGTTATATTTATATGAAACCTATTCTGTTGCAATTTTCAAAATGATTAAAATTTCAGAAAAATTTCTTCATTTACAGTATCATATTTTTGACAATGTAAAGAGATCTGTTTGAAACAATTTTACTAGCATTACAAAACATCTGACATATAAAGTTCACCAATTGATTAAATATCACAAGAAACCACACTGTTCCCTTTTAAAAAAAAACATATATTTCAATTGAAAAATTTAGTCCGTTGAAAAGTGTCAATATTGAGTCACCAGGTTATATTTCACATGTAAAACTGGAAGGGTAGTATTTTAAACATACTACAATTGAAGATTGCATGCAGTGTATGCTATGTGATTTTTTAACCTTATATTGAAATTTCAGAGGTGATTTTATTGGAATTGTGAAAGAAAAAGTTGTCATATCATGTAATGTCAGGGAGGAGTTTATTTTTCTATGTTCAGATCAGGGATACTTTTATTACAATCTGTAAATTCTGTAACAATAATTGTGTGTTTGTATGATGTTATGAAATTTTTTTTTAATAACACCAGTATTAATATTATTGTCTTGATTTAATTGGATAATGTTGATTTCATAACTGTATTTTTAAAATCAGATTTTGTATTGTCCATTCATTAACTTCCCAGTCCAACGACTTCTATCAAATCATATGTGTTTGTGTATAAGGTATTCAATACTCAAATCCTACGTACAGGTCAGGGGTTTCAGTGAGAAAAAAATATCTTCTGAATCGAGGAAAAAAAATCTACATTTACCAGCACACGTTATACACAATCACCACTACACTGGTATTAGTTTGTGCACTGTATATGTATCTGCATGTATCAATGTACAATACATGCAAGGTTTGTTAAAGTAAACCAAATGAATGTCCAAACCATACGTGGTACATGATTGCTCTTACGCCTATTTTGAAACATGCTCCAAGCAATCTCAGACTTCTCCATACTGGAGGCCAAAGCTGAAATAGCAAAATCTAACTGAACTGTATGGGACTATGGATTTAATCATTTGTTTCGGATATCAGCTTTTCTGTATTGAGGCAAAAATGCATTTTGATGAATACTTGATCTAATGACTTTAACAAATTCTGCATACTAACTTAAAAATGAAATTTGTATTTGCTTTAGCACTTTAGGTGAAGGTACAGTAAATTCGTTTTTTTTTTAGGAAAATCTATTCATTTTACAACTTGTACAATTTAAGATTTGATGATTTTAAGACAAATTAATGATTTTTTTTCTCCAATTTTATTTGCTTTCTATATACAAATGTTCACCTATTTTGAAAAAAATCATACAATTATATTTGAGAGAACCAGAGATATAAAATGCATTTTTTATTCTATTTTTAGGTATACATTGTACTTCAATTAGCCAAAGTTTTTGCAAAATGCTACCCAAATCTGTGACAGCCCATTTACTTACTTGACCTTAATTTGTTCACCTTTTCAGATGAAATCCATGAAATCTAATACTGTAAATTCAGAAATTATTGCGTGAATTTATTATTGCCATCTTTGAAGACAGGACAAAAATGTGAGATTAATTATTGTGATTTCAGGAAAATCTGCATACAATTATATGTATCTTCTATCTGAACGTGAGTTCTTATTATTGCGAAAATCAACATGTCTTATTATTTGCATTAATAAAAACCTTGCAATAATTTCTGAATTTACAGTATTCTCATTGCTGATTATGACTAAACATTATTTGCTATGTTATTTGTATTATGAATGTAAATTCGATTACTGCAGCCAATCAATCTGATTAAAATACAGATCCTGTGTCCATGTTTTGCTTATAAGGATCTGACAACACTCAGTTCTAATTTTTCTCAATTTTGGGTCCTAAATGCTATTCAACTGCATACTTTATTGGGCTTTGATTCGAGTGTCACTGATGAGTCTTTTGAAATTTGGGCTCTGGTAATTATTACATCAGCCAATGAAATTTCAGCCTTCAAATTTTTGAAGGTGTGAATCATGACGACAAAACCAGAAAATTCTGAAAAGTCTTTAAAACAGAAAATTAAATTGATTGTTGTAAGAGCCTTGTAAGCAAAGCGTGGACACAGGATCCGTATTTTAATATAGTTGCAGCCAATTGGTTTTGACAGTTCCCAGTTAGGGATTGTCAGTTTTATAACGGAGGATTTGCCAAGCATTGCCATTGTTTTAAAGTTGTAATGCAGAGAGTTGAGAGTTGTTTCAATCCATGTTATGTTATGGTAGACTTATTTTCTTTTAATTTGATGACTTTTATGGAACATTTGCCAAATGTAAATGTTCTGAAGATCTGCAATAAATGTTTCTTTTCATGCAAAGCATGATGATTTCAGAATTTGTCATTTTAATTTGACTCACCTGGCCTAATGGTCTAATAGCTAGTCTACCAGTAATCACTTGGCATCTTTTCTTTATTCGTTTGTAAACATTTAAAAACACCTGCCTTGTCAGTTTATCAAAATTAAGTCACAGTCGTACTTAAGATGTGTTGTCTTAGTTTTTGGACAGATTGGACCTTGTCCCAATTCTTTCCTTAGGCACAAGCCTCAAAGACAGAAAGTAGACAGATTAGCTACTATTTGCATTAGATCTATCCACACTGAAATATAGTTCCCAATATTAAATACACATGTACATATGAACTGGGAAAAATTTGGGTTATGCCTGTAGAACAGTTCTTTTGAGTGTGCATTATTTTTTGCTTTGTCAATTTGCTGGCTAGTTTGTACTAACATGAGCAACACGACGGGTGCCACATGTGGAGCAGGATCTGCTTACCCTTCCGGGGCACCTGAGATCACCCCAGTTTTTGGTGGGGTTCGTGTTGCTCAGTCTTTAGTTTTCTATGTTCTGTTTTGTGTACTATTGTTTGTCTGTTGGTCTTTTTCTTTTTTAGCCATGGCGTTGTCAGTTTATTTTTGACTTATGAGTTTGAATGTCCCTCTGGTATCTTTCGCATCTCTTTGCAAAAGCCAAGGTAAGCGTCCTTTTCAATACCAGTTTAATTGACAACTGTTATATTCAGCAAACAATCAGAGACAAGGTGTAGCCTTTCTTGGAATGCCCAATCCATTTAAATGCCAATCATATCGACCAAATTACTTAACTTCAATCTTACATAATTAAGCAGACTCTTTATCATACAACTCGATATGCATAACTTGACATCATTGGTGAATAATTTAATTTTGGATGTAACACGTCTTCTGATTGGCTGAAAGTTTTTAGTCTATAAGCTCATAGACATAATTTTATCACGTGACCGTGATGTCATAAACGTCTTTTCAAGAGTTACTCCTTAAAAATGGATTTTAGAATTAAACTATAAGTAAATAATTTGATTTTGGATGTAACGCATCTACTGATTGGCTGACGTTGTTTTGTTATCAGCTCATAGACATAATTTTGTCATGTGACCGTGACGTCATCAACGTTTTTTCATGGTTTACTTCGGTTAAAAATGGAATTTAGAATTAAATTATAAGAAATGACTAATATTTTTTCTGTCTATTCGAAATAACATAAAAAATGTGGTGCACACTTTAAAATAACCCGCTACGCGAGTTATTCAGTGTGCACCGCATTTTTGATGTTATTTCTACCAGAGACATATAATACAATTATATGTCTCTGTTTCTACATAGACAGAAAAAATATTACAGTCATTCCTTAATGACTAATATTGTTTCTGTCAATATTCGAAATAACCTCAACAATGTGGTGCACACTTTTAGATAAACTGCTACACGTGTTATTCAGTATGCACCACATTGTTGATATTATTTCTTCATAGAAAGAAAAAATATTACAAATTATTTGCTTCTGCATGACTCTTCGAAAAATTTTGGCAAAAAGGGAAAAACTAGTGGTGAACGTGGTGAAAATGTTACTGCCTTATGCTGTGTGGGTGCAGAAGCCCGAGTTCTGCCACCAATGATCATTTTCAAAGGTCAAAGAATTACTAGTAGTCAAGCGCTCATGGGAAATGCACCAAGAAACTCATTATTTGCCTGTAGTAAATGCTCGATCATAGATGGAGAGCTTTTTGAAGATGGTTTAAAAATCTCTTCATACCTAATCTCCCTACACAGAGACCAGTATTGCTCATATTGGATGGCCATGCTTCCCATATCACCATTAATCTGGTAGAAACCGCTGTAGCTATTGAAATTGAAAATTCCTGCTTACCACCATATACCACTCACTGGACACAACCTTTAGATAGGAGCATATTTGGTCCATTGACAACAAGAACTGTGAAAGTTTCTTTAAACAGAATCATGGAAGGCTGGTTACACGCTATGGTCTTTGTGGACTTTTTAACAATGCTTTCAATGAGAAAAAAGAATATTGTTTACATCTTTAGTGATTTCAGAGCTACAGGAGTATATCCTTTTAATCATAATGCTCTTCCCGTCGAAGCTAATGGACCATCAAAACATCTGTATGTGCAGAAGATGATAATACACCGTCTGAGGGGAAGAGTCTGAAATTGTCAAGTCATCTGATAAAGGAGTGGATTGCAACATTCAAGAAATCAATTGCACACCCAGTTCAAAAGTAACAGAAATACGGCAATCAACATCTGAGAGCAGTTATCTGCATGCTATTCTAAAAACTCCAAAGGTTATGAAAGCAATAAATATATGTGAAAGAAAGACTAGAAGAGTAGCCGGATCGAGATGTCTAACAGAAATTGAATTTATAAATGAACTTTAACACATAGAAGAAGAAAAATCATCAACTGAAAGAAAAAGAAAAAAGGAAAATGGAAAGAGAAGAGAAGAAAAAAAAAACCCAGAAAGAAATGGATAAGACACATACGAGAAAATAAATACAAAATTCAAGAACAAGAAAAAATGCAAAATTTGTCACATTGCGCAATCAGAAAAATCAGTCAGCTGACTCTTTAAGTGACTCTTGCTGCTCACACTGTAATGGCCATTATTATGATGATGATTCTGATGATTAGGGCTGGATCAAATGCTTAAAATGTGATGATTGGTAGCATGCATCTTGCACCGGGAAATTTGGACGTGAACTAACAGAGTTCGTTTGTGGAAAACACTCCGTCTGATTTTTAATCTGTTATTGATTAAATGTATGTTAAGGGAGCTATCATTTGAATTTAGGGGGGGGGGGGGGGCCTAGGATGAAAAATTTTGTCCTGCATTTTTTTTTTAGTTGTAATCTCTGTCCTACCTTTTTATTTTTCACGCTATTCGGTCCTGCCTTTTTTATTAGTGTATCCTGACTTTTTTTTACATAAATTGTCATCCTGACTTTTTTTTTGCAAAGTATATTTATATACCCACATTAACAGTAATCAACTCAAAAAGGGTGGGTGGGTAAACATAATAACGAATTGCTGCTACGTAAACTATAGACAAACTTCGAATAACTTTAAATGCCATCTTCTTCTTCTTTGTGTAGATCTCGCCAGCGTTGGAGCACACACAGCTAGCTGTGTTCCCTTAACGGATTAGTTTTTAAAATGTTGTAAAGAAATCCTCCACCATAACGTTGCACATGCACAAAATTTATTTACAGAAATGTACATATTATATACACGGATAACCCATACGTTGTCCAGGATGCAGGTTCGATGATAAAAGCAATGCCTAGCTTAATAAAATCAATGAACTATTTTGGCTGTTGAATTTACTGGACAGAGTTAACTTTATGTTTTAAAATTCATCATTCATATGAAAGCCTCGTAGAGCAAGCCTAAAAAACTATGCATTCCGAAGATGTTACGGATGGATATTTTCTATTTTCAAATCACAACTAACATAAACACAAACCACGTGCTTAGTATAAACACAAACACGTGTTTATAATAAACAATCACTACACCGTTACTACATCATGTGACCAATAACTTCAATATATAGGTACTTATCATTATATATGTATAGACACGAGTACACAGTTTACATGTTTAATATATCAGTACATGAAGTCTAGGCCATTTGGAAATGTCTTGTCCACATTTCAAACCAGTGACAATTAACTACATTATTCTTCTGATTTCGTTTGAAAAAATGTTGACGTAAGATGAATGATAATGACAATTTCATCAAATAAAAGGATATATTTAGTTAATCTAAAGGAATAACGCTTTTGATGCTGTTTTCATCTTGATTGTTGCTAGACAATGAGGTTCATAGCTTTTTTCACTTCCTTCCTTACAGACATTGTATTTTGCCTCATATTTGTGAATTGTTATTTTTATTGTGGGTTGCTGTCTCGTTGACGTATACCGGCCTACATTCCTTTTCATTCACCCTGTCAGTTAATTGTTAGAATCGTATTTTGATTATAGAAGATAAGTTATATATTACATTTGTATTAACTATGTCAATTCAACTTTCATTATCTGAATATTTGGATAGTTTCATAATTTCTCTGAAATGATATGATGCATGTCATTCCATTAAATATGTTGATTGCACTTGAATTAATTTACAACTATTTCGTTTATGTTATTCTCTAATGTCTTAAAACAATTTAAATAACTTGTTTTTCAAATACTAGTATAAAAACAGTCACCCATAACATTCTATCGATCAATTATTGAAACCTTAACATAATACAACTCCGACATAAACAAAAATGTGAAAGAATCAATAACAAAATGAATAGTGGTAAAAAGAGCAAAAAAGTCAACCAGTCCAGATTATATTCTCCGGAAAGAATTAAAAAGTAGTTCAGATGCTTTAATTAGTTGTATAAGGCAATGCAGCTTAATCTAGACTGTCAGAAATTTCTTCTTGTCGATGTTTACGTCGTTTTATATCAAAATTGAGTACTTGTTTTATCTACTCAGATCAGTTATACATCTATACAAAGGTGGCCACTTGCCCCAATATTTGGGATAAGTGGTAACATTTGTTTGGCTTGTGTCCTCAGCAATATCCCTATACGAGGATATATAGTTCTGTATTCTTTAATTTTTTTGCCCATATTTTTCTTTTCTTTATACTTTTTGCTCATTATGCTCTATTCTGTAAACCCTCACCCTCATATACTGGAAATACCGAAGTGCCTAATTCACCACCAACATGATGTCAAGTACATGTGCCATTGATTGGTACATAGAGTATTACTTTCTGCAAACTCATTTACGGTGAGTTATGCAATTCTTTACTTCAGGTGACCACTTCTAGTTGGGGGCACTTCAATAAATACTTAATTGATAGTGGGTGCCACTTGGGTTCTGTTACCCGAACCTTTTTACATAATTTAGATTTTAAAAATGTATACCTTTTCATATATTGCGTACGTAGAAATGTAACCTTTTCCCATAGTGATTGGGTTTCGTGAAATCGAGAAAACATCTACTTTGCCCTGAGCTCAGATTCCTTATGTAATGTTTACTTACGACGAGACTTTCGGCTGTAAAAAAAATACAGGACTTTTCATTTAACAATCATGGGAATATTATTTCTGATGGCATAGTGGAGGGGATATACGAGGGGGAGGGGTTAAGTATAAAACAGACTGTTTATGAATTGTTACGACAATTGGCAAATATTATAAATAAAACTGTTTTTTGTTGTATGTTATTGACAACCATGTAATGATCACATTATATATTGAGTTACCTCATTGTACATGTCAGAAAATTGTTAAAGTAGTTTTGAAGTAGGGTCCTTATAAAATAAAAGTAATGCATGTATAGCGAAATCAAAGATTTAAATTTATCATGATTAATATCAAATAAATACCTTTAGTGTGAGCCATTAACCGTTAAAATATCAAGAAAATAGAAATATACTTGAAAAAACTGTTTGTTATTGTACCATAAAATGATCAAATCATATATTGAGTTACCTCTCATTGTATACGTCAGACAATCTGAAGTTGGGTCCTTTAACGGCCACAGTTCACTTTGAATGACGAGGTCTGACATGATAACAGAATGCCGACATGATTGATTTAACTGACAAATCTGTGCACCATTGGTAGTAATGGATGCTCAAGTTCCTCCAGGTTAAATCCTAAAGAGAACGAGGGCCATGATCCCCAAATACGTCGGGTCTTATTCGCATCACTTCCTGGTTTCAGGGGAGTAAAGATTAACAATTTAACAATTTCTAGATCATAAAACAGTTAAGCTCGAACTGGTACCAATTCAGAACCGGCCACTCAGGGTAGACATGAGATGGTCTCAACAGAACTTCCTGCGGTAACGCAGGAAAGTAAAAAGCTAATATGATCCGACGTACATTAATACAGGAACGGACCATGACCCCTTAATCTTACCAGATCCCGCCAAACTACTTTTTACTGTGACTAAACATTTTATTAAAATATAATGAACAATTATACTATTATTTGAGATATAAACGCTGAAAGTTCATAACAAAAATTTAAAGTTCTATATGTGTTCTTGGTGGATAAACTAAATAATCATACTGATTGTTCCAATCACATTGCTGGTGGCTGATTGTCCTGGTAAAACTGTATAACACTCACTCAAATTTAGAATACGATAGTTCTCAAAAAGTTTGTTCAACAAGCAATTCCATCGGCGTAGTCTAGTCATCTTTATTTTTTCCAACAACGTATTATGTATCAGGCTTTTCTCTGAACAGCCTGAAAAATGAATAAACAGCAGCAGACACAAGTAATTGTTGGTAGATTGTGAGGGGAGGTGGGTGGGTTTTGAAACTTTCACTTATCTAGAGCGGCTAGTTCAAATGTGAGGCTGAAGTCACGTGATGTTTATAAGCCGGAAGCGAGATGCGGATCCGAATGATAAAATATGTCTTTATGGAAAATAAATATATTAATCAAATCTCTTTCATTAAATTGGTTTATCTTAAAAGTGATAAACCTTATTATACGAGAAGAACCCGTATCATGCCAACAATTGGTTTTAGAATAAATATTAATTTCCATTTATTTAATGTCCAGTTGCCAATATTTCACACAAATTCAAGGTGAGAAACTTTTTGCAATCAATACAATAGGTAGGCTCTAAAAGATGAGACGACAGGATGAAAGACGTCAAATTTTGGACTTTCGTCAAAGACTAGAAAAGAATGGTATCTCTGATAGGAGCAGAAATAGTTGCCTTTAATGTTCCCTTTCTGACATGACGTGACTGTGAGTGTATGCATCATACACTATAGCCAAACTGACTAGCTCACATTTCTATTCCCCAGTGACCCTACGAAAAAAATCTGTGAATATGTTTAACATAGAATATCAAAGATCGTTGATCTACATTTATCTCATAACGTATTAATTTTGAAGGAAAACATGCATCTGAAACCCGAAATGATATCATTTTTGAAACTGCTCAAATGCAAGGTTTCGTTTTGACATATATAATGACATTTTTGGTTTGAATATAATGGTCTGATGGGTATCAGGCAATTAGACGATACTAAGTGACAAGTTTTAATTTAAAAGTTCTAAATCATTTATAATGATGGTATGTCGTAACGTATTCTTATTTACTGACGTTGTATTGAATTTAGCCTTTAAAAAAACATTCTACATTCATGTCTAAACGAAACGCTGATGTCTTGAAGACTTGAAAATCTACACTCGTTCAATTTATCCGTCATATATAATGTCACACATAATCATGATATGGGCCATTTTTTGGAATCATAAATCTTTTGTTATTTTTTTTTGTATATATAATTTAGAATATTTTTTATATAACTGACACTTGATATTTTTTAAACGACTACTTATGCCGTCTTTATACTAAATCCATTAGATGTGTACTAATTTTGTTGTCTTGACATGATTTTATTTCAGTAACTGCGAGTACTCTCAGATCGGTACTTTGTGTCTCTAGTCTTTTTGTCAGTTGTTTTTTATGCTACATATCGACCTAATGAGTCAAGTCCTTCTATACAGTTTGTTCTTATGATGTGCTGTCACAACACTATCCCTGAAAATGGGATGGTTTGTAGCTTGGATACATGATTAACCCCGCCTCATTCTGTATATGCCTGTTCATAGTCAGGAGGATTTAATTCAGCAGTTGTCGTTTGTTGCTGTATATCATACTGGTTTTTCGTTAAGTCATGTTCTGTACATAAATCAGCTCGTTGGTTTTCTCGTTCGAATGATCTTACAATTTGTCATGTTGGGACCTTTGATAGCCTGCTTTGCGGTACAGATTTTGCTCATTGTTGATTGCCGTACGGTGACCTAAAGTGGATTTATCTTTGGCATTTGGTCTCTGGTGGAGATTTATATCATTGGGTATCATACAACATCTTCTTTTTTGTCTAAAGAAGATATTATGAGGTATATAGAAAAGGACTTTAAATAACACCATTATAAAAGGCCTTTAGATAACATCATTATAAAAGGCCTTTAGAAAACACCATTATAAAAGGCCTTTACATAACACCATTATAAAAGGCCTTTAGATAACACCATTATAAAGGGCCTTTAGATAACACCCTTTTAAAAGGCCTTTAGATAACACCATTATACAAGGTCTTTACATAACACCATTATAAAAGGCCTTTAGATAACACCATTATACAAGGCCTTCAGATAACACCATTATACAAGGCCTTCAGATAACACTATTATATAAGGCCTTTAGATAACACCATTATAAAGGCCTTTAGATAACACCATTATAAAAGGCCTTTACATAACACCATTATAAAAGGCCTTTAGATAACACCATTATAAAAGGCCTTTAGATAAAACCATTATAAAAGGCCTTTAAATAACACAATTATAAAAGGTTAATAAGATGTACTGTGAACTATTGTTCATAAAACTATACTTATACATATACCAGTAACCTATGACAAGAAGTTGCTGTCCAACTATGAGATATGAGTTTTTGGAGAAGAAGATCTTCGCTAGCAAATGGTTACGATCCACTTCCCTCCTCTCTACCCTTGGCGGATTGAGATAGAATTTCGGAGACACAAGGTAATGATTTTCATTGTTTGTAGTCGAAACTCGCTGCATCCAATCAAAAAGCGCCTATAACATGATCACGTGTAAATGTAGAAAGTGTATGTAAACAATTGGCAGGTGCTTATTGTGCAACACGTCTTTTCATCCCTAAACATACGACTATATTTAGGGACAATTTGAATGTTTTAATCACTCAATAGAAGTTCCTGTATATGTTTCTCGCACAAATGCATGAATGTCAACGTATATTTTCGTTTCCTGCATTACCAAGTGTGTAGAATCTAGACGCTACCGTGTTTTTACCTCCAAATTGAAGAGTTCAAGTGCTACCATTGGTCAAGAATAATGTATTCGGAATGGGCGTGACTTTAATCTACCGATAGATGGCGCAACATTGTTATCACAAATGTTGGCTTAATCTGCCAAGGGTGGAGAGGAGGGAAGTGGATCGTAACCCTTGGCTAGCGAAGATGGGAGAAGAAATGTAGCCAATCAAATGAACGCCCAATAACAATTAATTTAGTAACATTTCCAAATGTATATAAAGTTGGTTTAACAACATTTCATTTATCGTGATTAGTTCATATATGAATGTCTAAAGGAGATGATTACTTTAAATACATTGATATTTGACAAAAAGTCAATTCAAGATTGATTTATTGTTGTTTACTTAATACCAGTGTAAACTATTTCATGCATATTCAGGACAAGCAAATAAAAGACAACTCACAATGTTATTTATATAAACAGAACTAAATTGAACTAGGCGAACGTATGAAATGAACGAAATATAATGAAAATTAAAAACCAATTGTTCAGAGAACAATTGAAGGTCTTTCCACTCATGCAGATCAATTTTGAAATAGAACTATGAAAATTCAGTTTGAAATATCATATCCAGCGTCAAATGATAGCTTATTGTAAACTGATTCCAAAAATATATGGTTTCTATACATTACTTCCGGTTTGAAATATGTCACTTCCCCTTTTATTTGATAGTTTACTTGATACTGATTCCAAAAATATATTGTTCAATACACTTTACATCAAATAAGTACAAAACAAAGCTATTTCCGGTTTACACAAGGTCACTTCCGGTTGGCTTTTCAAGGTCATGTAAATTGCAACCTAATAAAAAAAGTCCCATGGCTTTATCGTGTTTAAATATGAAGTTAAAGCAAAGGTAAAAATCTAGAACAACAAATTTAACTTTGATCTTGAGCTCAATTTCAAGGTCATACACCAAGGACCTTTAATCATATTACCCTAGGTCTTTATTATACTTGGTAAATGAGTTATACCACCATACATGTAATTTTATATATACAAAGGGAGAAAACTCTCTTTTACGGTCAACTTACCCTTTCAACCAAAATTCATGTGTTACGACATGTCGCAACTTACAATTTAGTAAAAATATTTTGTCGATATCTTGTACGGTTTTTGGAAGTAAGTGAAAATAGGCCAAAATCAAAATTTAGAATGTGACCTTGACCTTTGACCTTGACCTAATTTTTATTTTTTTGGACCAAGGACCTCAAATCAAAAGACCCTAAGTCTCCGTCACTTATGGTTTACCAGTTAGAAATGCATATTACTTATATCACATGCATAAGGGGAAATAACTCTCATATGGAGTGTTCTTATCGCTTCGGTCAAAATAGGACAAATCATGCGAAGGATATAACGAGCAATTTTATAAAATAAATTTGTCGCTTTCTTTTGCCGTTACAGAGTAGATGTAGTCACAAGGAAAACAGTGTTTGGGAAGATAACTCTTACAAAGAAAATTGTTCGGCTTAGAATGGGTGAAAATAAAAAGCGCATAAACTGTATGATACTATATAAGAAATATCTTAGCGACATTTTGCGAAACAAAAATGTTACGCGAGAATAAAATTTGGCGGAAGAAAATAATAATAATAATAATCAGAACAAAAACAATAGGTCTTTCCACAGAAAAGTGGAAAGACCTAATAATCAGAACAAATACAATAGGTCTTTCCACAGAAAAGTGGAAAGACCTAATAAATGGAGAGAAGAGGAAAGAAAAGAGGTGGGTGTGTGCCAGTGAGACATTTTATGATATATATGGTAAATTAGAATGGTTAAAAGTGCACATTTACAATATAAATCAATTGTTTTAAAAACAATTGTTAAACGGTCTTTCCCCTCCGAAACATGATTAATTGGTTGGTTGGTTGGTCGGTCGGTCGGTCGGTCGGTCGGTCGGTCGGTCGGTCGGTCGGTCGGTCGGTCGATTGATTGATTGATTGATTGCATGGCACTTTCTCTGTGCGACGCAGCTAACTTAAATAACGCCTGTATTCTGACCGAACGTGACTGCGTACTTAGACATCCCGCACAGCCAAACGGACGCCTGAGATGTCCTCATAAAAATTGATCCTAGCATCATTCGTTTATAAATTTTCTCTAGTTTCTATGTTACCTCGGACTTCCATTTTTCATCTATTTGTTGTGTATGCATTTTGATTGAATTTGTAGGAAAACGGAGTAAATTTTTTATCTTGGAAGTTTTATTTTCCCTCATTTGGATATGCAATGTTTTATTCTAAATTTAGGTCCGCGCGCGAGATGGTGTTGTGAAGTCTTGGAAGTTTTATTTTCCCTCATTTGGATATGCAATGTTTTATTCTAAATTTAGGTCCGCGCGCGAGATGGTGTTGTGAAGTCTTGGAAGTTTTATTTTCCCTCATTTGGATATGCAATGTTTTATTCTAAATTTAGGTCCGCGCGCGAGATTGTGTTGTGAAGTCTTGGAAGTTTTATTTTCCCTCATTTGGATATGCAATGTTTTATTCTAAATTTAGGTCCGCGCGCGAGATGGTGTTGTGAAGTCACGTTACCCTCGAATATATGTCTGGAGTTAGAATATTAATTTCTTTTCAGGGGAGACCGTTGAACAGAGCACATGTGTATTGATCAAAGAAACACGATAACTATTGTTTTTATTTTGTACAGGTCATTGATGTCGGATCATGCATACATATTACGTACACATGTTTACGGGAGCACAGATTTGTATTTTAATGCATGTTTAGAAATTTGTAGGATTTCAGTAATACATTGATTTTAATTTCGCAATCAAGCGGACCGCACGTGCCTCATCGATTAATTTCAGAAAATACATGAATTGGAGCAGATTTTTGCAGGGATGGATTTCTATTTCAGAAAGAAATTTGTACATAAGAAGGATTAGCATTTTACAGTATAATGTACGGGACTAAAAGCGATCTTCTTTTCTTTGAAATGGGATAACTTTAAAAAAAAATCAGTTGAAAAAAAGGGGGGGAGTGTAGTGGTAGACTGTGGTTCATTATTGAGATAAGAAACATTTACAACATGATAGCTGCAAGGTTTGAAGTTTTGATAAGTAATTTGTTGATTCGACCATAACAGGGACATTGACCCTGCAATAAAATGACGCGTACCATTTCGACAAAAAATTTCTAGTAAACACGTGTCGCGACAAACTTTTTGGTTAAATTGTTTTGTCGATATCTATAACTCTTTCTAGGAAGAAGCGATACGAACCTAATGTAAAAAATCACAACATGACCTTGACCTTTGACCTTGACCTAGTTTTCTATTCTTTAGGACCAAGGACCTCAAATCAACAGACCCTAGGTCTCTATCACTTATGACTTACCAGTTACAAATGCATATCACTTATTTCAAATGCATTAGGGGAAATAACTCTCATATGGAGTCTTCGTATCGCTTCCGTCAAAATTGGACAACAAATCCTGAGGATATAGCGAGCCATTTGGTAAAATAAATTTGTCGCTTTCTTTTACGGTTACGGAGGAGATGCAGTCACAAGGAAAACAGTGTTCAGGGAGATAACTCCTACAAAGAAAATTGTTCGGCTTAGAATGGGTGAAAATAAAAAGCGCATAAACTGTATGATACTATATAAGAAATATCTAAGCGACATCTTGCGAAACAAAAATTTTACGCGAGAACAAAATTTGGCGGAAGAAAAAAATAATAATAATAATAATCAGAACAAATACAATAGGTCTTTCCACAGAAAAGTGGAAAGACCTAATTATCAAAGAATTAAAATACACAAATTGTCGAAATATAACATTTTAATCTTTATCCTGGTGGATAAACTTTTCTTAACATCATTACAGATGATTTCATTGAATAGTATGATGACTTCCATTTGTACCAAGTAATACCCTTGACGTCAATCTTTCCACCTTGAAGATACCGTCCGTTTAGATTGACCCAAGTACAATGACTATACCACCAGGCTGCATTGTTTATATTTGCACAGTTACCTCGATAAACATCGTTATCCCTGTCCTTTGTACTAAAACGCATCCCATTATTACTCTCCAAACTATCTCCTGTTCAAAACAATTGAAATGTATTCAATAATATCGTTACTCACTATTTTTATTGGTTTTTATTACGTTTTTTTTTTTTTTTTTGGGGGGGGGGGAGGGGTTCCAAAAAATCATACCATTACTTTTAATACTTTTTGAAGTACAAATGTAACCCTGTATCTATTTCAAACTATATGGCCAACGATCGTTATCCCTGTCCTTTGTTATGGAACGCCAAAACTGTCTTATTATGGCCATTTTCATTATATGATGTGCATTTACCTTTATATGATGTGCATTCACCTTTATATGATGTGCAAACATACTTATATGATGTGCAAATATACTTATATGATATGCAAGTGTACTTATATGATGTGCAAATGTACTTATATGATGTGCAAATGTACTTGTATGATGTGCAAATGTACTTATATGATGTGCAAAGATCCTTATATGATGTTCAAATTTATTTATATGATATGCAAATATCCTTATATGATATGCAAATATCCTTATATGATGTGCATTTTTCCTTATATAATGTCCAAACATCTTTATATGATATGGTTGTGTCATTATATTATGTGTCATAGATCAAATTTATTCGTTTAGTGCATGTTCACTTGTTTTTGTTAATATGTCTTTTGATTTAGTTAAGCCATTTCAATTGATGTTTTATAGTGTGTTTTCCTATGTTGTGATGTTACACTAAGTGCAAGTTATAGAAGAAATGATACAGTGCAATTTAACAAAAATCAAGGTTTGAAATATTTCGGAGGAAGGTTTAGATCCATTAAAAAAGGAGCTAGTTGAAAAATTCCCCTGCTGTTGCAAACATATGATAAAAGACCCTGTTCTGAATCAATAGTGTAACATCACAACAAAGGAAGACACACTATAAAATATCAATTGAAATGGCTTAACTCAATCAAAAGACATATTAACACAAGTGAACATACACTGAACGAACAAATTTGATCTATGACACAATGTAAATACAAAATCAATAAAATAAGGGGTTAGAAGTTAAACAATTTCAAAAAAACAACCATAACCTTGAACAAAATGCCGCCAAATAGAATAATGTACACAGGTAAATGAAAATAATTTTGTTGTAAGGTATACAGTATAAATGGAGAACGGAAATATATGTACATTTGCACATCATATAAGTACATTTGCACATCATACAAAGATCTTTGCACCTAATATAAGGGAAAATGCACATCATATAAGGATATTTGCACATCATATAAGTATATTTGCACATAATATAAGTATATTTGCACATCATATAAGGATATTTGCACATCATATAAGTATATTTACACATCATATAAGTATGTTTGCACATCATATAAGGATATATACACATCATAAAATGTCAACTGGACACCATAACTTTTTTTTTGGTGTTTTTTACGCCACTTTTAAGCACCACTTTTGGGCTATTTCGTGGCGGCCAGTTTTTATTGGTGGAGGAAGCCGGAGTGCCCGGTGAAAACCAACGACATTCGATAGGAAAACTGACAATCCTAGTCATTTAAGATTGGAGTCGAGTGCACCCGCACAAGCGGGGTTCGAACTCACAACCTCAGTGTTGACTGGCTAGTGATTACAGTAGAAGCTACTTAGACTACTCGGCCACCGAGGCCCCGACAACATAAAAAGGTGTTTGAACATCATATAATGACAAGTGCACATCATATAAAGGTATATGTACATCATATAATGAAAATGGGCATAATAAGACAGTTTTGGCGTTCCATACTTTGTAGTAAAACTCATGTTATTATTATGCTGCAAACTATCTCTTATTCAAAAGAATTGAAATACTGTGAACGTACTATATTCGTGGGGAACCACTTTTCGTGGTTTTCGTAGATGACTTTATTCACGAATTTAAGTGTCCAATGAAATATAAAAACTGTTGTCTAAATCAAGACATGAAAAGATTCCCATGTAGTTTTGACTACCGATATGATCTAGAGAATACCTTGAATACCGGCAAATCTGAGACTACTATAATAGTAGTCTCAGGGCAAATGCACTATGAACTACAAGTGCAGGCAGGATTATACCCATTTAATCTTTAAAAACCTAAACTGTACAACTTCTGATCTTTTAATTCTCATAAAAATATTTTTGATCGATGAAAGTCAGATTTCCGGTGATGATATGTTATGATAAAGTGTTTATTTTATATCCTCATAATTCTTGTACGGGAAATAACAATTTCATGCTGGGCTTGCTTTTGATAAGAATTAATTTTACAATTCAATGTACATTTGTAGCATTTGTTTATGTAACTGTTTTCTTTAAGTGACATGTTTAAGGCCTAATTAACACCTTTGATGGTCTGTAATCTGTTGATCACTCGATCTCAGGTTAGTTAGTGTCATCACTACACGGGTGCAACAATTTAAATGTTAACTTTGCAATTTCCTTCAATCGAGACAATTTGTAATCTTCGTTTCTAATGCCTTCAATTCTACACTCTATTTGTTATTAAATTATAATACTTTTCAAAGTACCAATTTAATCCTGAATCTATTAAAAAATATGCATATTTTCAAACAGTCGTATAATTCTATAATTATATTACACATGTTTAATAATTCATAACATAATCACAAATACATTAAAACTACTCAAAATAAAAAGACGTTTTGATCTTAGAAAAATGTGCATTGATAAGGCCACGATCTAGGTATGATACCACATGATAAACTGTATGTGTAATGAACTGTATATGTATTACCCTTATAAAATGAAATAATAAGCCATGACTAACATCTCAAAAACAAAAACAAAAATCATTTAAGGTCTGGATTTTCTTAAAGTAAAAAAAAAATAAATGATGTAAATATTGTCAATAGGTGTGTTAAGTGATAAATTACATTCTAATTGTATGTAATAGTAGTTGTTTTAAATGTTGATATCATGCGAGTATGAATCACAACGGTTTAAATGGCCAAATAAAGTACAAATTTAAAGAGCACTGAGGACCAAAATTCCGAGAGGTTATGCCAAATACAGATAAGGTAATCAAAATTAAACCTTGCCGAAGGCAATATTCTACAAGTTATGACTCTAGAATTGATTTAAACATATTTCATCTTACGAGTCTGGTATAAATCAAGGAGAGGCGACCTAGTTTCAACTTTATTAATTATCTACACAATCGCAGCAGTACAAAAACTAGTCTAAGATTGAATGGCAAATCAGAGTGGTATGCTATTTTTTTTTCTCGAGAACTACAAAATAGGAGATATGCTCATACTGCACAGTATGACTTAAACTTTTACTTACCGAGATCCCCACTATTTCCATCAGCATCAAGTTTGTATAGGGTAGAAACATTACCGACAAAGAACTTGGAATATTTAGCGTATCCTGTGTTGCCTTCAAAATCGGTAAGATCTACCCTTAGTTCATGTAGTCCGTTCGACGTTAATTCATTGATTTTTTTATTACCTGAAAATGTTTTTAAAAATCTAAAATTATATATGATGTGTTTGTCTCGCCTGAGACGAAAGTCACGAAGGCGAGACAAAGCTTCCTTACTTTCTGTTTTCGACGTCGTAAACAGTTGGGTACAGTCAGCTATTAAATTTTATTTTGACATTATTAACCTTGTTTAGTCTTCATGGAATTTTTCCAAACCTGGAAAGAAGCTTTATAGTTATTTAAGGAGAGTATCTAGGATTAATTGTTTTTTTTCAGATTTTTTAGCATAATGCTTATTGTAAGTTTGTCGCTGTAAACATTCACATACAGTCTAAGATTAATCTTTTAGACATCAATAATAACTTTGTCAATCCTCCATGAATTATAACGAGACTTGGACAGAAGCGTGTTTATGATCAAGAAGTATCATCTGAAAAATTGTTTTCACCTTGAACTTATATATGGACTTAGCCTTTGGTAGTCAATATTAAACTTTTACAATTACAGCAAGAAACACAGTAAAGACACTGGGTTCCGCGGAATCATTTATGATTTTTTTGGGTGTCAAATCATTTAAAAATCGTTCACAAACAGGGCTGGGAAGTATTAACTAAAGGACAGCAATTCAACGGCAATAAAATCAGACGACATCATGAGGTAAACATAGAACATAGGTCCTACAGAGGTGTTATAATACTGGTTTAACCACTGTGGGTTTAACCCCTCTGCATTTTGTACTCGTACAAAGTCAGACTATTTGGACATATTTTGTTCGTGTTGTTTGTCTATCATTAACTGTAATGACCTAGGGCCTCGGTAACCGAGTGGTCTAAGTAGGCTAACTACTATATCACTAGCATGTAAACACTGCGATTGCGCGTTCAAAACTAACACGCGACAGGTGTGCTCGACTGTCAGTTTTTTCTACTAAAGGGTGACGGTTCTCCCCGGGCACTGCGGCTTCCTTCACCAATAAGAATAGACAGCCATGATATAGCACAATAGTGCTAAAAAGTAACGTTAAACCAACCAATCATTCAATCAATCAAGCAATCACATTAATAATGGTAATTGCTTCTCTAAAATAGTATAAAACATAAAAATTTACCAAGCCAAAATTCCGCCTTCAAATTCCCAAATCCATTTTCATATTCCTCCCATCCTCTGAAAAAGTTTGTCGTACCGTTTATTCTTCTCTGAAATACCTGACAAATATAAACGATAAAATCAAATACAAATTTCACAAATTTTTCAAAATTATTATAAATTCATGATACAAATAGCATTAAGGAAGATACTCATTCTTGAATGAAACTGCTTAATATTGTACAATTTTTTACCTGCTTTCAGATGTTTAGAGTTTTCCTTAATCTTTATTGAGTATCAAACTTACCCTTTATAAATTGTGTGTGTCTGAATCGCTTTTGAAAAGTTACCTTCATCCTGAACTCTCAAAGCCAACTTTTGAAAGCCAAGTATGTAGCATAAAACAGTCTCACAAGACAAAAAAAAAAGAGAGTCATAAAACGAATAGACAAAATAAACTTATATCAGGTTTGCCTGCAAAAGTTGGAGCATAAATTTCTTTATTATTTCTAAATCCATCAACGGGAAAATATTAGGATAGTATGTATTAAAATCATGTTATTTATTAAGCTCTGACTAGAGTGCTAACGATACCCTCGGCAACTAACATTCCAACCGCACAGTATCGACCCACCAAGTAAAGAAAATAACACTTTATACATTTGGTGTGTTCGAAGCTCTTTTGATCTGTACTTTTTTCTTTTGTGTACACTTTGTTTTTGTTATACTCTGATAACACAATAATTACAATAACTTGTTAAACATTAGTTGCGTTTGAAGCGCTTTTATTTATTTACCATCATCATGAACAAAAGGGGCCTAATTTTAAAAGACGTTTGTTATTCCATATAAGAAAACCATGCAAATGAATTAGTGGAGCTGAGCCATTTAATAATAATTTATTAGACAGAATGTATCGTATACTTAATTCTGGCCATGAAAAAGCATTCATATAGACAGAATTTTTCGTATACTTATTTCTGTCCATGACAAAGTATTCAGATATATACTGATACATAAAAGGAAATTAATAATATTGTACTTGTACAACATATACTATGTATGGACCATAGCTTAACTTTATTGACAACAATAAATAAACAAATAAAATGTAAGAATATAGATTAGACTGATGGAAAAGCATTTACCGTCCAATTACCGTTGTCCGTTTCAAAATCACAATAGACTGTATAACCACTGTTACTGGATGAGTTATGAAAAATTGTGTAAATCCCATTTCCTCTTTTTAAATATATTTCTCCGCAGTCTCTTGGTCGAAGTTCAATACCTTTTGTTTTTTTCACTAAAAGAAAATCAAAATATAAAAATGTTGCCATATCATTTATAGCTTTTATCATTATAATGGTTTACAGCCGTTTGCAGTGAATAATACGAGTTGTGTTTCTGTTGACAAAATAATATTTCCCGTTCAAATTGAACTCTTCTTCGTTGCTTAAAAGAGAGGCGAACAATTCCAAAGGGACATATAAACTCATAAGTCGAAAGTAAATTGACAACGTCATGGCTAACAAAGAAAAAGACCAACAGACAAACAAGAGTACACAAAGCACAGAAAACTGAAGACTGAGCAACACGAACCCCACCAAAAGCTGGGTGTGATTTCATGTGCTCCGGAAAGGTAAGCAGATCTTCTTTTTACGCTATTGACTATCCGTAATACTTTTTTATGAATAGAATACACACGCGGCAATGGGAAGAAAATGGAAATGAAAGAAAATGTTATCTCATCACAGTTAAAAAACACAAAATATATATACAGATAAACGCCAAAAAGACACAATTTGTATATGACGATAATCAAAATCAAACAAAAGGCATATACTTAACGGCCTTACGGACAATGGACGGTCTAGGTTTTCAGAAAAAGATCCGTTTTGTTTATTTTGTCGAGGGTCCAGGTCGTTTTCGGATGTCTGGTTCTTCTTATTTTGGCACATTAATGGTTGTGAAAAGCTTTTTTGAAAAGGTAATTTTATAACTTTACTTGATTGATCTTTTGATTTCGATAAGTGTTCGATATCATTTATACCCGGTCTGATACACCTAGGGTAGAACAATCAGCAACTATAAGCCAAAGAAAGACAGGCAACACCCATGTATACCCCCACGAAAAATGAAATAGATTACAGATCAATTAAAACAAATAAATAAAACAAAAGACATCTTGAGAGCAACATGTACAAGGGATCAAAATTAAAAAAACCGTTTGATAAATGAACATTACTAGGGATCTTAAAAAAATCTAAATCATTTTTTCAATATGAAAATAAGGAGACGTGGTCTGATTTTCAATGTGACAATTATTCATCAAAGACCAACTTACGTGGAAATAAGGAATAAACCCATACCGAATAGGCAGTTATTATAGAAAGACCCGACATTAAACAATTAAAACAATGGTATTTATTATATGTATATTGATTTTATACTTAGTCTAGTGAACAGTTTCAAGATAGGCAACTCTTACAAAACGAATACTTGAAATATATCCCATTTCCACTCAAATACCATTGCCTTAAATGTCTCTATAGATTTAATAATCTAATAATAAAACTCTTTTGATAAATTTTTGGAACATGTTGAAGTAGGAACATGTCTTAAAATGTTAATTATTTAAACCTACAAATGTACAACACACCTTGAAATAAGTTACAGTCAATACTAAGCCAGCTTACATCAAGGATACTGAAAGTGTTATAGGAACAATAAATGAAAATAACACGTTATTAATTTCATGCGTCCGAAGCGCTTTTCTGGATTTATCTTCATCAGGAACGCCTAAAGCCAAATATTTGAAAGCCGAGGATGTATAAGGACCAAAACAGTTTAAGAGCTATATAACCAAAAAGTACCTAAAAATAATATCCAAATCCATTTAAGGTCAACTTTGCCTGAGGGATTTGAAACCTTAGTTTCTTTGTAATTTCAAAATTTATAAACGGACAATTTTAGAAAGGCATGAACGGTTTGTTATAAATCATGTCAGTACCAAAGTACTGACTACTGAGCTGATGATACCCTGGGGGCCTGATAGTCCACCAGCAGAGGTATCTACCCAGTGCTGTAAAATAATGAAAACAACGCGTTATTAATTTCATGCGTCCGAAGCGCTGTTCTGGATTTACCTTCATCAGAAACGCTCAAAGCCAAATATTTGAAAGCCGAGGATGTATAAGGACCAAAACAGTTGAAGTGCTATATGACTAAAAAGTACTTAAAAATAATACCCAAATCCATGTAAGGTCAACTTTGCCTGTGGGAGTTAAAACTTTAGTTTCTTTATAATTTCTAAATTTATAAACGGACAATTTCAACAAACTTGAACCATTGCGTCCTGATAAAACATCCTCATTGTCCATCTATAAACTTATGAAAGTTAAACGTATTTCTAGCTTCATTTCAATTTACAGAATCAGTTTGGAAATATTACATGTAAGTCAATGAACGCGTGACTATCGAGAGTTTTGGAGTTACTATGTCGAATTGTCGCACTCTTCCATAAACGCTTTCTCCAATTATATGAAAATAATTATTAAACATAATAACCTCTTTCAATGTTCGAAATGTTTTGTTTTGTCATCAGGAATGAAAAATAAAGAAACATCTAAAGAACAACATGCAATTTTGAACAACGGCAAATCCGTTAGTAGTGGAGAAAACCAGAGTTCTGGCGACCTTTGTCTAAGGTTAACCCTATGGGGAAAAGGTAGTCTCCCGAGAGGTAGCCTCCCGATGTGAGGCTATTTCTATGACGACATTTTTCGGTATTATGACATTAATTAATTTGTTTTATTGAATAATGTACAGATGTTTATCATTTTTTGAGTATGTGTGTGTATTTATGTGTGTGTGTTTGTGTGTATCGATTCAAGGTTTTGCTCATGAAATATGAGCAAGTAATTATCCAATTTGATTCTCCTTTTGTGTGATTGTATTCCTATTTTTTTTTAAGTTTCTGCTTCTTGGTACTACATTAGCAATAATAACAACAATAGTATTTACAATATTTAATATCCCCGTCAATTCAGACAAACATGGGTTGGAGAGCCATCCACATGGTGCCTTTACAATATAACAAAATTATATATAACTATTTTATACATCGAGATAAAAGGATTAGAGAATCGTCTGCCACTCAACAGTATCTCTAACCTCACAAAAGGGCCAACAGTATGCTATCTTTCGAATAGGGGTGTAAACTGTCGAGAATTGAAGTTAGTCTTTCCGGGATAGTTAACTCTCTCAAATATCAGATAAATCGCGAGCTTTAATCCAAGAGTTAAATTTCTTTGGCCAGTGTAACCATTTCACATAATATTGCTTGTTTGGTCCTTTGCCTTTCGTTTTGAGGATGTGTTCAACTTTCCACATATCGTCTTCCCGATCATCCACTTTCTGCACTTCTGATTGGTAGAAGGTTCCTGAAATTTCTTCGTCTTGAAAATCAATAAGTCGATAAACTGGAAGCCCACCACGTAATATTCTTTGAGATATTTTAAATATCTCTCCGCTCCATTTCTCCTCGTATTCCCTGGTAAAAGGATTTCTTATGTATGTAATCCGAACTTTATCACCGATTTTGAAACGGAAAGGTTTTTGTACTTTCTCTGTCTTAGGTTGTGATCTTTTTGGCCAATACATTTTCCACCACAGGTTTGTCTCTTTAGAAAGGGTAACTTTATCTGGTGCCATGCCAATCGTTCTATGGAAGGTCTTGTGGCTGTAAGCAAAATTCTGTAAGTTATCCACATAGTCATATGACTGCTTACTGGTGATAAATCTAATGATTGTTGATTTAATAGTCTTGATAACTCTTTCAACGTAATTAGCTTTGATTTCTGTATTTTGTGTAAATAAATGTAATATTTCTCTGTTTTAGGAGAGATTCTACTAATCTTGATCTGAATTCTTGTCCTTTATCTGTTCTTATTCTGTTTGGTGATCTTCCTTCTGAAAAAACATGTTTCAAAGCATTCGCCACGGATTCGCCTTTTTTATTCTTTACAGGTATTAGCCATACATATTTGGAGAATATGTCAATCACCACCAATATGAAATTAAATCCACTGTTCAATTTCGAAAATTTAGACATGTCCATCAAATCGACATCCCATTGGTCGTCTATTCCAATTACGATAACTCCATTCCGCTTAAACGACCTTTTTAAGGGTCTTTGTAAACTGTATGGTTCCTGTCGTTGTAGCCATTTTCGTATTTTATATTTACTGAGAACGAATTTTCCATCTGTTCGAACAAATCTGTAAAGTTTATCAGGCCCTGCAAAACTCGCTGGGATTAGCTGGATTGTAATAAATATTTCTCAAGTACTTTTCCCAAGAGGCCATCTTTACACATGGAATGATGACTATAGAATGACATACAGAGTAAAACGTTCTCATATTTATATAGTTGAGCTTTCATCGTCTCCATCCTCCTCCTCCTCCTCCTCCTCTTCCTCTTCATCGTCATCAATGCTATTTTCACTTTCAGAACCATCATTATTTGTTTCGTTATCAATAGCTTCATCTAGATAGCTTTCCAACATAGGTTTATATTTCCTGATGGCTACTTTAATGGCTTTCTCGTAGTCCATGCCATCGTTAACTAATTCTGTAATCATTTTCATGACTTTGCCATGCTGTTTACTATTTTGTAACTGTAGTAAATACTCAACCAAACTACTATATCTGGACAAAAACTGATCCATATCCTCGTCTTTTAGTTTGCGATTGGCCTTACTTATTGCGTGGTCTTCATTCATGTCACCATCCATGTATTTATCAACTTTTTCTTCCCATATATCTGCATTTGCCTCCCTGGCAAGTTCAGCTAATATTATAAAAGCCATATCTTCTCCACCTTCTATATCAATTTCGTTTACACGAGGCTTTTTTGAGGGTATGTCTTCATCCTCAAATTCCCTTTTTCTTTTTAAATCATTATTTTCCGGGCACCACTTATTCATATGTCTAGCTAAATCAGGAACGCTTTCAAAGACTACACCGCAATCATCACATGAAGGCATGATTTCTTTCTCGTCTGGTAAATAAGCCTGCTCACTTTAAAATGATTCGTCAAACTGAGGTGGTTCTAGTTCTTTTCTGCTAATATACTCTTCAGAAACACCCCCACCAATCATGTTCTTGTTTTCAAATATATTAAGTTTTAGTCTGTCGTCCTCCGGTGTATTCTGTTTCAGATCAATGAATAGACTCCCATATGGTCGTTGTGTCCCCTCTTTGTACTTATTCATGAATTTCTTCGGATTATTAGGATACATCTGTCTAGCAAATATGGCTGGCCCACATGATCACGTGGGTTTTTGAATAGGACTATATACTGGATATTGATGCTCATGGTTCGACTCTCCTTCCCCTTCGAGAACGCATTTTGCAGTATACAAGCTACACTTAGGTTTCTGTGATGGCTGCCCTCCACAAAGAGTTCACAAACATCCTTACTATTGGTGACGTCTCTCATTAAATTGTCTAGGATGATTAAACTTGGATATCTAGAATCAATGAATGAGTCATCATTCAAATTTTCAGGTAAACCTTGAACAAATAAAATGTTTTTTAATGGTTTGTTACAGTTCTATAAATAATGGCTGCCACCGTTTATAACACCATAAAATCCTCTCAGGTGATGGTTTTATCATAGTCCGTGCTCGCTTCAATAATGTTTTCATCCAAAACGCCTTACCTGAACCAGTAGGTCCAGCCAACATAATAGTGAAAGAATGATGTAATACCACATTTTGTGGCGGTGGCGGCAGCGGCGGCGGCGGAGTTGGTGGTGGTGGAGGTGGTGGCGGTGGCGGTAGCGGCGGTGGCGGAGGTGGTGGCGGTGGCGGTGGTGATGGCGGCGGTGGTGGTTGCGGTAGCGTCGGTGGATATGCATCATTGCTCTGCAGATATGGTTGACTAATTCTGTGTTTGTTTCTTTGGTGTCGCAACATAGCATCTTTTCTCGAAAATTCTGTACCACAACTGGAGATCTTAGAGAGCTCTTAAAACACGTCCACTTCCTTCCAATGAAAGGCGTAGAGTGATTGAAATATTGACATACATCATAATTATATTCTCCAATGTCCATAGGCCAAACTTTGTATCCCATCATCTAGTAAGTATCTTTTGTCATCATAAGGGGATAAGCCAAGTTTGTTGATGGATATATTATATAACTTGTGGTCGTATGAACGGATCTGTGTCATGGTAGACATGTGGATTTCTTCGTTGAATATATTTTGTTTATAATGTTCATGCCTTCTGTCATGTTTGATCACACTCTTTTTTCATACCCTTTGCTGTCTTCTCACAGAGTTGTTTATTCTCCTCATATATCAACGAGTACATCTTCGACTTGAGACCAACGAATTCTTGTATGGGAATACCATGTGTTTTGCCTTCATCTTTCCTAACACCTTTTTATTTAATGTGCTATAAAGCCGATGTTCAGGGTCATATTCTGACGTATCAAACAAGTGTTTGTCCTCCATCATATCTTGATATATAGCATCAGTGTTGATGTTGTAGCATAGGGAGTCTGTGTCCGTAAACAAGAGTGTTGCTCTAGACTCATATTTATCCTTCATATAATTATAATGAAAATCGTACATAAGTGTCTTTGACAAATCGAGTATAGTGAAGCCAACGTACATGGGTCTGTTCAAGATAAAGACAACCAGTTATTTTTCATATCAAAGGAGTCTATCGCCACTGGTACTCGCCCACGGGTCGGAAAAACGACTCCTCAGTCTACCGACCGTATGGGTTCCCAGTCTTGATACTGATATGAATAACGATCTGATTGATATTCAAGAATGTTTGACTAAGGCTTTCGCCAAAGTAGTCACCGCCCGTCAACATTTCCATCACTGGAAACAGAGCAGCTCTCGCAGTTAAGCAAGACTGCAAAGGTTTTAGTCGGAGAGGTCTTCCTGACTATAGCGGGGCATGTCACATGACACTTCTTCTCCGTTGTAAGCTAAATGACACTGCCCTAAGTCAGTACACATTACCAGTGCAGGAGACTACTTCAAACTTTCGAGAACTCAATATTGAAATATATAGCCTCCCCCTTTTATTATTATTTTTTTTTATTTGCAATATTTTGAAGATAGCATATGTCAATTCCATTTATTTATAATTGGTCGTAAAATAAGTTGGTAATTCATTTACAGAGAGAGAGAGAAAAAAAAAGAGTAAGCGAACTATAATTGTAATAATACAAGCCTGTAGATCGTAGATGATTATTAGGCATACCATACCTTTAAATCCTAACTACTGTGGATGTTAACTCGGACTTGCATGTCTTCACCTTTAGAATGTCTTCGATAAGACTGTCCGAGACCTGCAATTCTCATCGTTTATATAGGAGAATGTTCATGAATTGTGGAAATTCCGTAATTTACGTAATCTGATTGGTTAATTTCGAATCTGGCAAATTTTTTCGATCGATAATCAGTTTAGTCTAATTTGCCTGTTGTAGCGATCAGACGTTATTTTCTTTGCTAGGAAGGCTTATTTATTTTTGCAGTCTGCTCCTGATGTAGTGTAAAATATCGTGAAATAAAACCACATTTCAATAAATAAAAACATCTTTATTCAAATCGGAATGATATTATTTTTATGGACAGTTTGCAAAAGATATAAATACAGAAATTATCATAATTTGATATGTTGACATTAATGTCCATACACCCGTGAACATAAAGACATCAGGTCATTAAGAACGAAAGAATGTACTAGTATTGAAATGCTCAGAGTTGAAATGTCTTGTTTATTGGAATTTTACAGTGAAAGATTTTAGTTTAGAAGTGAATATTATCAAGGAAATGATAAAGTTTAAGTTTTGTAACGGGTAGGATATTAAGAAATAAACAAAAAACAATTAATGTTAACGTTCTAAAACAGTAGTATGTATATATATATACATATTAAATACTTGATAAATCTCATATCTAGATATATAATACTATTTAATTTCATTAATACAACGATTTACTTATTTTAAAATTACTGACGCCTTTTATTTGTTATATTTTCAACATGACGTCTTATCAAACATATTAAAGGTCACTACGTACAACAATGACAAGTTAAAACACGCTATCGATATTGATTGAACAATTATATTATAAAATTCGAGATTAAATACCTTTCAAAATTTCACCCCAGAAATATTTAGATGTAAAATACTATTTTGTTCCATTAATGTAACGATTTACTTATATTAAAAAGACCGACGCGATCATGTTTACAATTATATTTTCAACATGGTGACTAATCTAAATCGGATTATTGACACGCCTAAACATGGTAAAGGTCACTACGTACAATAACGACAAGTTAAAACACGCTTTCAATATTGATTTAACGATTATATTATTTATAATAACGTGTACGTCTTATTCTTCACAGCCGTAGGTGAATATAGATATATAAACAAACAAATAATATGTATTTGATACACACTTAGATAGGTTTACCTGTGTATCTATTAATAGACTGGGGATTTTCATATATCAAATTAGAATAAAAAAAAATCATATACTTACAAACGTAATTTGTAACACTTTATAAAGAGTTTATCCGACAAAGAAAATAATTAATTTCATAAGTTAATGTCATAATACCTAAAAATGTCGTCATAGAAATAGCCTCACATAGAGAGGCTAGCTCTCGGGAGGCTACCCAGTCAACAGACTAACAGTGGGCCAACGTTGGCAAATTGTCGGTCCGTTGGTCGACCGTTGGTGTTGGCTGCACAACATTGGCCCAACGTTGGCAAATTGTCGGTCCGTTGGCCGCACGTTGATGTTGGCTGCACAACATTGGCCCAACGTTGGCAAATTGTCGGTCCGTTGGTCGCACATTGGTGTTGGCTGCACAACATTGGCCTAACGTTGGCCTTCTGTTGTAAATCAATATTATTATCTCATGTTGGTTATAAATAATCGGGCCAACGTTGGCATTATGTTAGTAGCAACATATGGCCCGTATGAAATTTTGTAAATAAAAATTGATTATGAAATATTTTACGCTTTATTTCTCTTGGAGGCGGATAATTGCGATTGCTGCATGCTTTATGAAAAGTTAATGTTATACCAAAAGTGTTCATCAACTGAAATTACATTTACAACTCTATGTTGGGCGAATGCTGGGCCAACGTTGATCCTATATTATACTCTATATATAAGCCAGGTAAAATTTATTCTGGAATATCATTACTGTAATAAAAAAAAATGTATATCGTAAACATAGATTGCCTGGTTAAAAGTTTAAATTTATTGCAATCATTATCTTTTATAACTTTATTCATTAAACTTTGTGAAACATAATAATTCAGCATTTATATACAGAATGATACTTGATACAGCCAGTCTGTTAATCAAGCACATTCTGATAAGGTTGACCATATGTTAGACAAATTTCAAAGATAGTTGCCATGGTAATTAAGTTTATAGGAAATCTGAATGTAATGGGATGGTCACTTTTGTGGTTATTTCCTGTTGTGTATTTGTAAGAAAGCAGTGAAACGAAGAAAACAAAAAGAGAAAATCATATCATCTGAGGTTCAAAGAAAAAGGAAGTAACATGTAAGTTATAACTTTAAAAATTCTGTTATATATACGATTGTGAATGACATACAATATGTTTTTTTTTTAATCTGAGGGATGTTGTTCAAAATTAAAACATATAATTGCTATCATTTTATAATGTTGATCTTGAAGTGTATTCGTTTCTGGCAAAATATTTTCTAGATTTTGTTTAAACCATTTCAATCCTAAATAGTCATGAAATATTTGCCACTGAACATTAGTATCATCAAACACATTGTAAATTGCTAATATTTTAATATTTTATTTCTGAAATCTATAACGATTGCATTTATCACCATTACTGAAGTTAATGGAAAAAATCTGTCTTAAGATCTACCTTGTTCCGTAATGTTTCAGAAATGTGGTATAATGATTTCTACTTCATAGAAATATAAATGAATTTGTTAGTTTTATTATTTCTAAATCGCATGCAAACATATACGATATATTTGTGAAACCTGATTATATACACACTTGCATGTGTAACAGTGTTTTAGATATCAAATAGAGTATTTATTTATTAAATTCATTGCAAGAATGTTGTAATTTATATATAATTATACGGACTCGACTGAATTAAGTTTTTTAAGGGGGGAGGGGGGGGGAAGACTATACCACACATAAGGATATTTATAAAAGAAAAAGACTATAAAGATTATTGTCTGAATTACTTGAAGTAGCTTTTCTTTTTAATATACAACTTTACATTTTAATATAAATTTAAGTTTCCTGTATCCATTTCTACACTCAATTGTCCTGTTTAACCTAGCTAGCGAGGTGAAGTCTAACCATTATGGTATAGCATGCAATATGGCTTTTGCCTTGGCTTGTATAGGCTAGGGAAAATGTCCAAAAAAAGTATTTTTTCTAACTATTGTAATGTGCCAGGACACCGGAAACAATGCATGTTTTGTCTTTTTGTTTATTTTTTAGGAGGATTTAATATATTCTAATTATACATACATTGCGTACTCATTTATTCATTACTTTATTACAGAGGTACATGTAGTGAAATAACTTTTATGAAGATATGCTAAACTGGATATTAAAAGGATTTAACATAAGATGGAGCCAGAAATAGTGACAAAACAAAGTGTAGCATAAAACAAAAGGAACACTCTTGTGAATAAAAACCATGTTGGAATACAGAAAAAGAAAAATAGCTGTATACAATGACTTAACAATGCCTTTATACAGAGCTTGGATATTGCAACATAAACTGTAATGATATTATACAAATGGGATAAATGAGTAATCATGAATAGACTTTATAATTTTCATTCTATAGATCTGATTTAGCAACGTATAGATACAAAAAAGACTTTTTTTAAATTTACTGGTTGTCTAGCTAATAATAAATTATATTTAATCATACCTTTGTATTTACAATATTTAAGAAAAATAGGTAACATGGATACGTTGATTGAGTTCATACAAATATGGGTATAAAATTCAGAAGTACAATTCCTGGAGAGAGATTGATTGGTTGTTGGTTACTGAAACGTCCATTGGGAAATATTTCATGCATGTTCAGAAAGATGGAGAGAAAGTGGAAAAATACAAAATTTTAGGGTAGTATGTAAGACACAACATGGTATAGTAGATCTGTAAAACGCAATAATTGCAACATTTAAAAAAGTAATACTTTCGCCATTTTGAACTGATGTAAGAACCAGGAATTATTGCAGTTGTTGGCTGGAAGGGATTTAAGTATCCTTCATATGGATAGAAAAGTTTACAGATTGAACCAACGTTTGTTAACAGTTTGTATTACTACGTTGGCCCAACGTTTGTTTAACATCGGCAAGTATTATTCCATCATTGGACAAACGTTGGGCCAATGTATTGTATAAAACCTTACAACGTTGTGCCAACGTTTAGCCATCACGTTGGGCCAACATAGGGCCACTTTGCACTTATACATTGGGCCAACGTTTAAAAACAACGTTGGGCCAATGCATGTAGATACGTTGGGCTAACATTGTGCCAACGTACCAATGTTGTCTGTACTTCTCGGGAGGCTACCTCTCGGGAGGCTGCCTTTTCCCCATAGGGTAAACCTTAGACAAAGGTCGCCAGAACTCTGGTTTTCTCCACTTCTTCCGTTTATAAGAGATATTTGTTTTTTTTTATTCCAGATAACATATTCAAATAAGAAATCTCTTATTGTAGGACATAGCTTGATATATTTACTGTGTCCAGTTTCATCCAAAGCACACTTGCTTAGAATGTCTATTCAAGAATAAATCATCTTATTACAAGTACGTTATGATGAATTAAAATATTTTTTAGGTGATAGTATCAATTACTAGTAAATTTGTAATGTATTGTTTCATCAGCATGTACATGCACAAAGATGAAAATTGCATTTATTTTGACTTACCAAATAACGCGAAATAAAAAACAGTCAAGACTGAAGTTGAAACAATGAACACTATAAGAGTGACAATAAATATTGTTTTCCATTGTGGCCTCGAAATATTAACTTCATGGACAATTCTATGCTGGTCTTCAGCTCTTCTGGGTTGTTCATTCGATTCTAACTCTATTTGAGGTGAAGCCATCTTGATTGATTATGATTTGAATTTAAAAACTTTTCTATGATATCTAAACTAATAATTGACAACTGTATCTCCACTTTCTATGAATAAACAGTACAAACAACATGAATAAATGAGTAATATATGTCCACCAATGAACACGTGACCATCAATATGTACGATTGGATGAATAATGATGAATTGTTGCACACGACAAGATAAGTTACTCATTCCTTTCTAATTTTAAAACTTTCATTCGATTATACAGCTTTACGTTAAATTAAATAATAATAAAATGAATTAATTGATGTTTATATTGATACGATGTATAATATCAAGTCCTCGGAGAATTTTCAGATTTTTCAGGATGAGATTTATAAGGAACCCTTACGCCAGTATATCAGTAACATAATAGAACTGTTCAACCTATGTTTCCATGAGTTTATAACTTCATTGGTTATCTTTGTAGTTTATTCATACTACAAAACCGAGTACAGTTGCTCGTACAAATGTTGAGATCATTTTAGTAGTCTTTGCAAAGTATACTTACATTGCTGTATTTGTTTTCCTGTGAACGCCATATGCATTGTAGTTGTATTTTCACTTTTCGCCCTAACCCATCTTGTAGGTTTAAGAACTGTATATGGTTTATGAAAAAAAAAAACCAAAAGCATTTTAAATTAACTTTTAATAGATATTTTTGTGCAAGTTGACCAAAAAAGCAGTAGACGGGTAAAACAAATATAACGTTTTCCAATGATCTTTAAAAATTTTCGCTTTCAATGGAACTTTAAATAATATATAAAATGAGAAGCATTGATTTCAGCAACCACTAACAACCGACTCCTCCAAGACAATAGATGTTCAAAGAAGACAACGACGAACAACACATACGATTGACTAGAGGTGGGTAGGAAATGTTGTGGGGTTAAAAATAAAACATTCACCAAAGATATCAGGTTAATAATTTTTATGTATGAGTTTATAGAGGAATGGGCTTGCAATTAAATTCATCCCATTCGCGCTGTCTTATAACTCAAATTTTCATCAGTTGAAATTGGATGGAAATCGAAAAATTTCCCCAAATATCGCTGATCGTCCCCGAACTATCTATTCTAACTTTTCGAAAACCAAATAATCAGTCAATCAAGGCTGATTTGTTTTTTAAGTATGGATCTTTGTAAAAATTGTCTTGAAGGGCTCGGGGGACAAAATTTCGCATAACTAAACTTTAATCTTAGAATTTGGATCTTGGTTTTATATTTGTATGACTTTCAAGATCACAAAGTGCTTAATGAAGGGGTAGGAGTCTTAAGTGATTTTATTAATTATACGACTAATTATACAACTTCATACATACGACAACAGATAGAAATGTCATTGACGTAAACAAATAATTTACATCTAAAATAATAATTCACTGCTGTTAGTATTTGTTGATTTAATATCTTTCAACACGAGGAAAAAGGTAAATGGGGTTTTACATTTACTGTCTTAAAAAGACACGAAAAGTTACTGATGAAAAGTAAAAACACTTGTCTATAGTGCACACGGAAAAGAAACTTAACTCCGAAGAGAAATCTATTGATAACAGTTTTACTTAGAAATGTAAACGGAAGAGAAATCTATTTATAACAGTTTTACTTAGAAATGTACGGATTAAATTATACAATTATTTTGATCGGTTTAGTAAAAAAAGTTTTATTCGTTCTGCGAAGTTTTTCACTCTTCTATAATTGCATACAAGAAGACGTCAGATTTATTGTGAAATTTTATATCTTGAGTATATGACCATTAACGGACCTTGATTGTCAACAAATATCTTAAATCTCGAAACTAAATCTTGAGACTATATTTGTATGACGTTTAAGTTTGAGGTACGCTTCAGCTAGGACAGTAGGCTTAAGAGATTCTTAGATTTTCCTTTAATATTGGTTGATTATATCACTTACAACACTACGGAAAAAATGTATATTTACGAAAGTTTGATGGTTACAAATTTTCAACGGACTGAGTAACAGATAAATTACAAATTTGCGGATAGTTTACCTGTAATTTTATGAAAATATAGTTTCAGTATTCCGAACTGAAATACTTGATAAATATTAACGTTCCTCTATTATTCGTTTCATGCTAAGAGACAAATTCAAATCGTTAATTTCCAATCCACTAATTCGTTTCCTTTTTTTTCGAAAAGACAACGATGAACTGAACTAAAATGAACTGACCCTTGGCTTCATCGATGACCTTTGTGTAATGTTAAACCGTTTTGCTAGATTTCGAAATAGTATTTTCCAAAACAATATGAATAAATGAAAATTAAAAATTTCTATAAATTTTGTATCTATATTTTTCTTTCAAATTACTCTCAACTGACAAGTAGCGTACTCGATCAACGAATATTTCGTCATTGTAACTTCATACAAACATAGATCAATAGACTGATTCTTAGAAAAATCAGTATGATGCCATTGCAAAACTGATAATAAACTCAATGAAGATAGTCAAGAGTTTTAATCTTGCTTAAAATGTTAAAACCTGGTCGTCTGATTACTTTTTCTGGGTATGTTAACCGCCTCTGTCGTCTCGTGGAAGAGTGCTTTCCTCTAGTGTAGGTGGTCGTGGGTTCGATCCTTGACCTGGTCAAACTAAAGATTTAAAAATTAGTACTCGTTTTTTTCTCCGCTTAGCACGCGACATTGTGGAGATAGAGCAAATACTGGTCAGCTCAGAGTCAGAATAATGAGTCCGGGTAAGGTGAAATGTCTTCACGCCGACTGTTACCTTGTGAACTATCACGCTAAAACTCAGACGCAGTATGTCGGTCTAATACAAAGCAGAGTTCATATTCAAAATACATTATCATGTTCTTGTCCTAAAAATGCATTTAGTAATGAGACGCTCAACAGCAATACATCTGACTATGTTTGTTTTGTATAAAAAACAAGGTTTCGTTTACTTATGTTGTATTTTTCTAAGAATCATTAATTTGTTATGACTTGACAAATAAAATGAAAATGATTTTCTACATAAATGAATATAGATATTTTCCGGAAATTTCCCATATATTTGACATTTCAAGGAAGACATAATATTTATAAAATAGTAGAATTTTAGGAACGTGATTAGCGGCCATTGTAAAAGAGATACCAAATTGATTCTCACATTAACGACGTTATATCTGCCACAGTGCAATTTTGGCAAATTCTTCTTTTCTGATACTAAAAACAAATAGCTTTTCCTCCAAACCAACCTATTAAAAATCATAACTAGCGAGCAACAATATTCTACAGAGTAGTCGTCTACTATATTTATACGACAATACAGCGTAGGAATTTAGGACCATTCGCTTTTTCTATGCAGAAATCATAACATGAACAAACATAAGATGTTAAGTATTTTATACCCTAATTCGTTAAAGTTAGGTATAACATCAAAATAATGGTGTTAAGCAGCAAACAATTACATTTATTTCAGATTTATTGAAAAATCTTGGCTTTTGTGGAAAATTTCGCTGTTTATACCAATCCCAATCAATTCTACATATTAAAATAATTTAATGTAATATTATGCTTACACAGATAGCTCTTCCCATTTAAGATTCACTATTGGGATTGGTCTATCAATAAATTTTATCACGATTACGTCGTCTATTTTTATCAATAAAAAACGAAAAAGAAAGTAGCATTGGTCATGTTAATTTCGAGCATTTATTGGAAGCATGATACTAACATGGATAATAAGTATTATTTCATGTGAAAGGAATACCCGTTGAATGCATTTGTATTTAGTTTTTTTTAACCAAAACATGCTACGCGTATATACATACATTGGTGATCACCCCATGCACTATGCGGTCGAGAAAAAATGTTTAAAAATAATTATTTTGGCATTGTTTATGTGAAACGCATATTTTTTATTTTTCTTAAACATCATTTAAAAGCAAGAAACTTTAAAGATTATGAGACAAATAAAACGGTGTTGTATCATACACTTATTGACTGGTTATTAGGGTACAGGTAATAGCAACTATGTTGTTCCTGAGATACTATTGCTCGAGGGAAGATGGGTTATTTGGATTTCTTTGAAAATTCTGTTTTTCGGTAGAATAAACCACTTGATTACTGGCTGTGAGGATAATAATTAAATAATAAACTGTTTGGTTTGAAAGATAAGAAAATTGATACATAAAGATGCATGACTTAACCTCATTGTAGAATACAGACATGGATGATCATTGATTCCTAATGTACAACTGCTGTTTAATGTGGGGCATAATCTTGCACTAATATACAATGGCACGTGCTAAGCGGAGAAAAAACAAATACTAATTAATACAAAGTTTGACCCAGTTGAGGATGAAATCCACGACCACTTGCACTCAAGATAATTTGAAAGTGATAACAGGAAATTTCAACTGGTGCGGAAATAATTGTTCACATTTTTCTTTCATACAATGTACTTTCTCTATTTCACAATTGTTGGAAATACTAATACTTTGACAATTCTGTACTTAAACTTTGACAATTGTTGGATATACTTAAACTTTGACAATTGTTTGATTAAAACAAAGAAAACCACTTGACAGAAAAACAATCGAAATCACTCGATAGTACGGAAATGTTAAATGAATTACAAAAATAAAGTTCAATAACGATACATAAAAGTCAAGTATTGACTACAGTTGTATTTACTTCAAATTATAACAAATCATAAACCAAAGCTTTTTTTTTGCTAATTGAAATCATGAAGAGCTTTTTGTGGTCGTAACATTCATTTAATGCCCGCATACGATAGAAGAACCTTACGTTTTTTGTTCTGTGCGTCCGGCCGTTATTCCGTCCCGCATTTTGTTATGATTTTAGTTTAGGTAGTTTATCGTGGAGGTGAGCTCACATTAACTTGAAATTAGACAATTGTTCATTCGAATATGATTTTTTTCTATACAATGTATCATATTGCAGATTACGGTTTATCGTGGAGGTGAGCTCAGATCAACTTGAAATTAGGATAATTGTTCATTCGAATATGAACTTTTTCCTATATCATATTGCAGATTACGGTTTCGACCTCAATTACACGGTTTACTGAACATATAAATGTGTAAGTTTGAAATAAGTACATTCGCAGGTTA